GCCTAAGCTATGTCTACGTCAATGAATTCAATCGTCATCTTAGCGAGAATCATCCAGCACGGTCTGTGAAGGACTGAAGGAGCCTACTTGCCTATGGCAACAAGCCAAGCATGACCAAACCTCCCAGCAAAGAAGGCTACGTTGGACCAACGTTGTATCAACGTCCCGAACGTTTATTCAATGTTGATTCAACGTCATGTGTTTCAAATTGTTTGCTGGGCTGGAACTGTGAGAGACAGGATTGTTACCCTCCACTGAATTTCGTCTGGAGGATGTGAGGATGCGATGTGCGCACCACGCATACTGATTGCTCCACGTAGAGCCTTCGAGTGTGATATCTGTCCTAGGTTAATTTCAAGTCTGCGCCCAAATTCAATTCATTTTTGCATGCTGCAAGAAGTGCTAAACTCTCACATCGAAGGTACAGAGAGGGAACCTACTGAGAAGAATCCGTTGTGTTTCTATCGCTATTTGGTTCTCTTGGTTGGGGTTCCCTATAATTGCTGTACGGCTCGAGAAGCCTAACCTTACGCGTTTCTCTTTCTTCTGACTTTCCCTTAAAGCTACAATCGCAGGATATGAAGCTGTCCTGTAGCATACAGAGGGTATATATCCTCGGTGGATAGTTTCGCGGGAGTCTTGTTTTGCCTGGCGGCATGCAGATTTGGGTATAAAACGTCTCAATTTTGCAGAGAACGTCAGCCCTCTTTTGAAACTTCCGACAGCCTCGAGATCCTCCAAGGCCGACTGTAGACATGTGCCAGATGTGCTGTACAGGGCGCAAATTTATCAGGGGCGCCAATGACTCTGAAGCAGTAATGGATGCCACCCTCAGTTTCACTTCAGGAAGTGAAAATGCCTTCCGTTTCGGCGTCATTTTGGACTCCAGGGATCAGTGGCGCGCCCAAGGGGAGGGGGTTTGAGGGTCATAACCCCCCCCACCTTGGAATATATTTTATAGGTTCAATTCTAAAAAAGAAAAATTAATTTGGCCACAAATATGGGGCGGGTTACCAATTTTTCATGCGTCAACCCCCCTAACCCCCAGTGAGATTTTTCTGGGCACACTACTGCTAGGGATTTACCCTTCTCGGGGGGGGGGGGGGGGGGGGGGGGGGGGGCGGGGGGGGGGGGGGGGGGGGGGGGGGGGGGGGGGCGTTGGGAGTCTCTGCACAGGACGTCGAAATACGAGAGGCAGTGCCCCTCGTAGCAAGGGCCGGCCCTGCCTCTATATAAGCATGACAGGTAGTGGTGGTAGCCAGGATTTCGCCTAAATAGGGGATTGTGGAGAACGAAGGGAGGCTAAGATTTTCCAGCTTCTCGGGGAGAGGGAGGAGAGAGATGCATTTAAACCAGAGTTAAGGGGGGGGGGGGGGAAGCGAGCTTCAGTCCCCACCCAGCTCCCTCCTCACTACGTCACTGGGCTCCAGCCTCCTCTCGCTACGCCGCTGATGACCGGCTTTCCTCTCTTGGGCTCCTAGAAACGATCGACTTGTGTCGTACTCATCGACCGCTTTCGATGAGGATTATGCACGCTCCGTATGGAGCCTTACGACGCCGACGGCGAATGATGGAGAGCGTCGGGATTTCCGCAATGGAAAGGTAAATCCGGTGGACCCCGATCCCAAGTCTGTCACTGCATCCGGAGGTCGCTTTCTCCTCTCAGATGGTCGCATAGACACCTAGTGATCCCCCGGCTCTAGTTCGTGGGGGGAGAGACCATTCCTCATGTTATGCTCAATCAGTTGAAAGATATTTGCTTTCTAGTGGCTCTGGACGACTTGCGACTGCGAAGAAGAGGAAGGCAAGGAACCAACAACTGAGATCAATTAGAACATTAACTTTTCCTGACTAAGTACTCATTCTTCTTTCTTTCGATAAGATATACGAGGCAAACAAATCCCCATATTTCGCAATCGTGCATTTTCAGGTCTCACCGAGAAATACTATCGATTTCCTTGCAGAAAACCGTTCGTGTCGCGGTACTCAAGCATTCGGGGAGACATTGCTCAACTTACGATCTTGAAGACTAGAATACTTTAGCCTCATTGCTCCTGCGTCACCTCTTGCAAAGGCTTTCTCACAATGGGGAAATCAGAAATGCATCCATCGACCTATTGCAAGAGCCTAATAGTTCGAGTGTGAAGCTTTGTGCTTCATGCACGAATGGATCGAAGAGCAAGCATTGTTCAGATGATATACCTGCCCATTTGCTTCACTTCCAGGAATGCCTACCATATGCAACGACACCAGTTCATAAATGATTTTCATCTCTCAAGCTCCAAACTTCACACATCGATCGTTTATGGAACGAAAGAAGAAAGGAACCGGCTTCTGTCTAAATTTTTTTTCAACAGGACATATGACAATGGACACATTTTTTACATGACACAGAGAGGAAGGGAATGCACGCTTGGCACGAGCACCGCATCCGTATCACAGTCCCTCAGGCTGTGACCTCTCTTGGGTCCTGTAGGAGGCCTTAGGGGCAGCTCATGGGTTGCCTACGCCCAAGAGTGGCACGAGTGGTTATTAAGGTGTACTGCACCCGCATCTCCTAGACGTGGCACAGAGAGTGGAGTGTGTTATCCCACGCTAGGCAGACACTCTCCATGAAAGTAGGTGGGTCGCCTGTCGGCAGAGGAAGAGCCCGCCGCCACAAGAACTCGATCCCTCGCCTCCCGGGTTTCACTCGGAAGCCAGAACCACTTGGCTTCTACCTAAATTTACTCTTTCCTGATAATTAGATGAGGAATCATTCTCTTGAAGCCTTTGTATCGGTCCACCTCCGAATTTGTCTTCATTCCGTGACGATTGACTCCTACTTGTGATTTCTTGTTCCATGAGCATACCTCAGCCAGAGCGATCGTCAGTTAAATAAAAAAGAAAATTCCTCCTCTGAGGCAAGAAAGAACTGGAAGGAAAAGAGGAACGCGGCTGCGAAGTTGAAGTGGTTCAAGAGAACCTACACAGAAACTTTCCAGTCACTTTATATCCCTTTTTTTTATTACTGTTAATTGCTCGGAATTTCGCATCACGATCACGGGAATTCTACATTGTTGGTGTGCTCTTTTCGTCTTCTTGTGTCGGGGATGCGGTAACAAAAACAATTAACCATAGAGAAGTGAGGAGAATGAGCGACTTATTGCTTTTAATCTGCGGAGGGTGATGAAAAGTGACAGTTTCTATAGAGAAACAGTAACGGTCGTCACAATAAAGGAAGCGGCAATGGAATACTTACTCCTAAATTAAACATAAGTTGGGGGGGGGGGGTTCACAGACCTGTAGATTAAATTGAAGGCGGACGATAGGGCACGATTGACGAGGAAACAAGGTCTGACAGCAGAATAACAATAGAACGACAGTAGAAAGTAGAGCAGACGCCGCAAAGGAAGGCGCTCCCGGCGTGAATGAGTCACACAGGCAGTCGGGCAAGTGAAGCAGTCCTTTCAAACCCTGCTGCAAAGGGGTGGGTGCGAGGAGTGGGAAGGGGAAAGCGAATGGGAGTGAATCCTGGCCGATCGCATTTTTTCGTTCGGTCTACGGTTCATTACAACTAAAAGAGGATTCTCGACGGGTCGGTCGCAGCTTCTCCACTCTTCACTAACTTTTTAATATTTTCTATTTCTTTTTCAAATGCTGCAGTTTTTTTTGTCTACTTCAATCTTCGAAAGCTAATAGAAAGACTTTCCTCGAAAAACTCCTGCATGTAGGAATGTTTGAGCAGGAGCAAGAAATGGAGGCAAATGGAGGATGTCAATATTTACGATTTCCATATGTACTGTATATGAGAAAGGAAGTGTCCCAAGGTCGCTAGATTTCCACGTTCAGAAGCTGCAATCACCGTTACGATACTGAGCTGCTTTCATATGCGCCTGTCCAATGGCTCTCCCGCCCGTGGTATAGACCGCTTAAAGGTGAGCATTCAAAAATGGTAAAATATTGTTCCCCGAAGACAAAGGAAGTGCCTGAATTTTCTCCTCCTTTCTTTTGCACCTGATGACTTACATATCATGCAAGCGGCTCATGCGATTCCCTCTTCGATGGTGATAGCGGAAAATGCCTTGGACCATCATCGGGATGAGCCAGCGCCTTAGAAGCATCACGGTTTCGAGTCGAACTGAGAACTTCGTGCATCTAAAGGCCTCGATGATAAAGACCGATTGAAGCGACGAAACGGGCTCCCGAAGCTATTCTATCGGGTACGTACTTCGAGTTTCGATATCGTATCCATTCTTTTTCGACGACTCGAGATGAACGTTATTTTTTGCCTCTAAGGAGCAAGTGAAGTGGTCTAATCGCCGATCACTCGGGACGTCTCCTCTGTCGTCGTCGACCGCAAGCAATTAAAGAAACTCGGAAGGCGAGGAGTGCCGGAAGTGTCTGCCGATCACACCCACGCAAACTGTTCCACGGTGTCGGAGCGACTCTCGATCTGTCCCTTTCGTTCCCGAACTCACTCTCGAGACGAGTCTGTCTCCCTCTCCAGCTGTGCACTTCCACAAAAATATGCAGCTGCTCGTAAGGTCTCGAAAGCGAAGTGGAACGATCGGTTTTGCATCTTCGGTTCGGGCACGCGATGGCCTGAAGATGTCAGTCGGGGGTTCACTCCATCCGCCTTCACATTGGTATAATGCAGGGTTTATTCACTCGTTGTCGCCCCGTGAAGACGACGTCAAGAAAAGCCGATGGCTTCATGTTTCCAGCACGGCCGATGGTTCCATGTTTCCACGACACCTCCCATACGCTTAATGAGTTCGGATTTTCACGAATTCATATCGATTTACGTCAGGCTCACCATACTTGTCGGTGTCTTTTGCATAATCTTGAAAATTATATTGGTAATGGAATGCAATTACTTTGGACATTCAGAAATCGCACGACGAGCCTTCTAGTATCCGACATGTCGTAAAAAAAAAAAATTTCTACTCTTTGGAATCAGTCGTTGATTGGAGCGACAGGCCATATGGTCTTCGCTGGAAGTTCATATCCAGGGCTAAGGCTGGGATAAAGCTGCTATTTTATTTCATTCTTCACAATTCCATAACTCAGGTAGCAAGCGCGTCGAAAAAATGAGTCCAACCGATTCCAGATGAAATTTGCCAACCACGTGCCTCCGAGGTCTCGCCTCGTTACAGTACATCGCATTCGAGTTTAGCCGAGTCGGGCCCATCGAACATAGAATACTGATTGGATATACGACCGGTGTCGTGCACACTCCAAACACCTTTACGATTTAGACGATAAAATATTTCTCGACTCGAGTTCGAGGTCCCAGCCTCACATGCTTTACGGGTTCGCGTTTGGCATGCGTGAGAGTAGCATTTAAAATGAGGTCGTGAAGCCGTGATGCACCCGAGATGTGCAAAGTGACGAAGGAGGAGAATCAAATGAGGGTGCAAGTGGAGGAGCTGTTGCTGGAGGTGGAGGACGGGGAGGAGCTTCTCTCGTTCTTCCCCTCTTTAAAGTAGTGCTCGTCGGAGAAATCCACATCTGTTGGAAGAACGGCAATCGTCTCGTTCGACACGGGCTTCTTCGGAAAGGTGACGGAAGCGGAAGGGTCGGGTCAAACACTGAGTGCTTCGAAAACAAGGCCCATTCGAATGCGGACGTGGGATGCCGTCGGTAAGGTCGAAAGCATGCGCGCTTCACGTTTTAAATCGAAGTATGTCAGTTTATTCGGAGCAGGTGCTCCTACTCTTCGCTGAATCACGTGTTCTTAATTTAAAAAAATCATCATTACTGTATCGTGAAAAATCGCTGCAAAAACGGCACGAATGGAGACACGAAGATCAATCATTAAAAATGGAACCAGAGCACAAGCATCTGTCATAATCCACGATAAGGCATATAAAAAAAAAACTGAGACTGCCTGCGGTCTGCATTACCATGTTGGAGTCGGTCCAAATAATTAGTGTACGTAGCGAGGAGCTGTGTGCCAAATGCATCTCCACTGCGATTTTTTATACTTCGACTTTGCGAACTTATTGTATTCGAAATACCGATTGGAATTAATTTCGAACCGAATCGGCAGATATCTTTCTCATCCTTCGGAGATGCCCCTTGCAGGAAAACCGTAGGCTCCCTCCATCACGGATGGAGATTTCCTATGAGAAAATAAACTGACATTCTTTTTTGGGACACGGGCAGAAAGAAAGGATCTAATTCCGGAATTCGATGCAAGAGAAGCGGCAAAAGAATGCCGGAACGAATGGGCTCTGTCTTCGTCCGAGTCAGTGGGATCCAGGACCCCGGATGGCCTACCTAGTTAATTACCTTGGAGCTGGGAGAGGAGTTCCTCGGCTCTCTCGGGATATTTCATGATGTCTCTCACGAAGTTGGTCGGGATCTTCCCCTGCCCTTGTCTTTCCGCCAATTCCAGCATCTTCTTCAGTGCGTCCTAGATCGATGCAGAGGTTAAAAAAAAAAAAAAGGTTCGTCCCTTCGGATGCGCGTCGGGCAGTTTCGACGAGAAACCGAGATCGAAGCATCGAGATGCCGAACGGAGTCCTCGGGTCTCTCGTGGGTTCGCGACTCTTCGTCGGTTTCTTCGGGAGTCGTACGACATGCGTTCCAAACCTCGAATACGTGCTAGCCGCAAACCGTTACGCTCGAGAAGTTCACTCCGCTCGGTACCGAGGCGATGCCGTTTGCGAACGACGCAGCTGCGTCCTTGCGATCGATCGACCGAAGATTCCAGAGACGGTCGAATTTGATTTACGGCGATCGAGACGTCGTTTTCTCGACGCCCGCGATTTCACGGTGCACGAATCGACTCCCATTTCGTACGGCGTATCGATGGACTCCGCGGGACCGCCACCGCCCCTCGGCATCCGACGCTCGGGCAAACGCAGAACGATGCATGGACGCGCGGGGAGCGGAGACGGCCGTTCGCACGAACTGTCGGCTTCTTCCGCGACCGAAAGGACGAACGGCCGAGCGAAACGGTAGGAACGGAGAGACCGCTCGGCACAAGCTCGGTAGGCGTCGGCCGGTCTCTCGCCCCGTCCCGAATTCCATCGTTTTGGCTAGAATGCGATCGGACGGTAAGGGGGGTGCACGAAGAAGGAGGTCGTCCGATGGAACGCGAGCGAGCGGGAATCGAGTCCGGAGAAGGTTCCCTCTTCGCTCCTCCTCGATTCCCTCTTCGCTCCCCCTCGGTTCCCCCTTCGCTCCTCCTTCTTTCGTTCTCGATGCGAGGAAGATGCGCCGAGAAGCGGATCGCGGCATCGCTCGACTTCGGTGTCGTCTCTCGTAACGTACTGGAGGAAAATTTTCCTACAGGCGCCGAAGGCAAAAACATTTTTAAAATGTAAAATTTCACGTTCGCGAGATGTCGTCGGAGCGGAAAGGCTCTCGAAGGAGTTACGATTCCCCACGAGGGGCTTCCGATCCCATCTCCGCTCGATCTGCTCGGTGGAACGGAACGAAGAGAGAGGCGAAGGACTCACGACTTTGAGTTGGAGTCGAGCCTGAGTCTTCTTCATGAGAAGCAGTTCGACGATGATGCTCTGCTTCTGGGGATCCACGATCCGTTCGTCGATCTTGAATCCGTTCATGAGGCTCGACGTCCTGCACAATCGCGAATCGCGACCGGGGGATTCCCTCGTCATCGGTTTGGTTTCGGCGGTAAAAACGTTCGCATGCGTCGGGGAAGTAACCGAACGGGAAGGAAAGGTTTCAAACGAATAGATGAATGGTCTCGCCTCTATGCGCTCGACACGTATCGAGACGTTTTCTAATTTTTCGCAACCGCGCGATCGAAGAACGGATGAATTTCCGAGGAAGTTTTGCGTTCCGCGTCGTTCCCGAAGTGTGTCGTATCTTCTGCCAGGAAAGAACACCGGGAGGCAAAAGGGATTCCGTTTTCTCGCCGAAGACCACGGGAGGAACTTCCCAAAATGGCCTCTGCTAATTTGATGTGACTGCGTTAGCGTGGTGGGGGGGCGCTTCGGCTCGACCGGTCGTATGGATCCGATTCCGTATATGTCTTTTCTCTCTGCACGCAACCGGACGATTCGAGACGGAAGTCATCCGGTGGGGGAAAGAAAAAAAAAAACCTGGGGATCATGCGGAGTCGGGCGCGTCTCGTCTCTGCACTCTGCTAGTGGACGCCACGAAACAGACTGGAGAAATCCCGAGCCGAATGACCCTTGGGTTACGTCTATCGAGGCCGGATTGGAAGAGTGCACGTGGACGGCTTCCACGCAAACCCACGTGTATGCTGCACGTGTGGATACGATACCTCGATGACTTTTCGGTAGCTAAGACGTCTGATACCCCCAAAGGTTTGCATCCATTTTTTGCATCCTATTCTGCGAAACTCACTAAACGGTATGAGGATCGACGCCAAAACGTGGAGGGATCGTAAAACGATTCGGAAGAGAGGGGAGCCCAAAGGTGTGCGTTACGAGCCGCCGATATCCCTAACTTTTGGAAATCGGTGTACTTCCCTTCCTATCCTTTACTGTCCTATCCTTCCTTTCTTTGATACTATTTATCGAGATCGCGACGAAGTGTCGCGAAACACTAACTCGTTCCGTACAGTATAAAGACGCAAGAGACGTACGAAGCACGTCATTCGCAGTTAGAGCCGTGGGCTCGGCTTAACGACTGCTTTCCTTCGTGATCGGTTCTTCGTATGATGTCGATATACCAATCGAAAAAAAGGAACTTTCTGAAAGTTCGTAGAGGATTCGAGGACGGGCCCCGGGGAACCGAGAGGCTTCCAGGAACGATGAAAGGGAGCAGTCATCTCCCCGCCCCCTCTCCCCCCCCCGCCCCCCCCCCCCCCTCCCCCCTTGAGGGGAGTCCCTCGGCCGTCTCCGAATCCTCTACGGACCTTCTTGGTGTTCCCCTCGCATGCGACGTGCGGCGGAGGAGAAACGAACTTGGAGAAGACGTCGCGATCTGCGGCGAGCATGTCCTTGGTGGTGACTCCGTCGGCTCGGCGGGGCATGGCGGACCGGCGAAGCCGGTGTTTTCCCATCACGTCCACCACCAGGGACTTGTTCTTCAGGAAATCCACCAGCAACTTCGTCACCGGTTTGTACGAGAAGAACTTCTCGTGGTTGAAGTCCGGGTTCGCCGTGTCTCCCGCCTGCTTCGTCTTGATCTCCGAGTCTCCCATGTAATCCTTGTACTTGCAGTAGATGTCCTGGAGGGAAGGGATCGGACGCTCTGGAGGATTCCCGAGGCCCCCGAGGTCCCCACGCCCCAGACGAGAGTGCATGTCCTTACCTTGTATTTGTTGGGGAGACCCCTGCAGTCGAGAATCTTCACCTTGAAGTGAAGTTCTTTCCCGACGAGTTCTTCCGGGGTATCGACGAACATGTCGTCGGCCTCCACGTATTCCTTACCCTTTGCATTGCACGGCACCACCTCGACCTGCATCGACATTTAATCCCGTTTCAACACGCTTCGTTCCATCGATCCATTCCGAGTCGTTTCGTTCGGATGAAACCCTCGATCTCGAAGAGCCGCCGCGAAGGATCGACGGAAATGCGAGACTCACGTTCATCACGCCGACTTTTCCCTTCAAGTCGATGATGTCCAACTGCTCCTTCAGCTCCACCTGAGAAGAAAGAGGCGGCGATATCGGCAGGCCCGGAACGGGTTCGCGAAGAGACCCGCGAACGGGTGGAACGTTACCATGTATGCGATGGGCTGCAAGAAGATGTTGACCGTCCCGATCCTCACCTCCGTGTTCGGGTCTTCGCGGAATGGATCTCTCTCCTGCGCGAAAAAAAGGACGGAAAGAGAAGCGGGAGAGAGCGAAGGAGGTCGGGAAGGTGCGGGGACGTACGACGGGGAGCTCCCATTCGTCTTCGTCCTCGAAGTTCGAATACATTTCCTTCATGATGTAGAGCCGGTTGAGGAATTTCTCCTTGGGCCAGACGTACTCCATCCCGTTCTCCAGGTTCTTCATCTTCACGCACACCTGTCCGGAAAGTGGGACGTTCTCGTGACGCGACGGGACTCAAAACGGGAGACGTTGGAAAAACTCAGTCTGGGAACCTCGGTCTTGCCCTTCTCCTTGCCGAGCATCTGCGGCGACGCGATCACGATCTCGAACTTCGCCCTCTTGTCCAGTTCGGCGCTGATGGAATTGGCCTCCTCCACGGCCGGCAGGACTTCGAGCAGGTCCTCGTGCAACAACGCCATGTCTGCAAGGGAAACCCGTGAGACGCCTGCCGGACACGCCGAGGCTGGGAGGGGGGGGGAGAAAAAGTACCCGTGTTGGAGTCCGCGGCGCTCATGTCGATCCCGGCCTTGGCTGCGATCTCCTCCTGAGCGAAATCGTAAGTGATCTGCGGGTATTTCTTCTTGTCCGCGTTGGCCTCCTTCGGGTTCTGGTAGACCCAGATCTGCGTCGTCCCGAACACCAGCCTGAAGCATCGAACGTCGACGAAAGCATGGAAGCGACGGCAGAAGCCTCGTCGAGGAGCATCGAAGCACAGACCTGTCGTTGTGAGCGAGGGGCGTTTCGCCCAGGATGGCCGTCCCGTTCACGAGGACCCGACAATCCCCGTTCACGGGCTTCACGCTCACCGCATTCTTCTTCTGATCCCAAACGATGAGTGCATGCGACTCTTGGATCCTAGGGGGAACGACAAGAACCCGTCCCGGCGCATTTTCGACGCGGAATTCTCCCGTGCCTTGAGGCTCTCTCCCGACGTTCCGCGTTTTCCACGTCTCGATATCGATTACAGTCGCTATCTTTTGCATCGGAGAACCCACCGCGGATCACCGAGCGAGCTTCCGTTACGGCGATATCACAGAATGCAGAGACTAGAAAAGCTAGGTCTCAGAAAATCGTGAACGAAAAGAGGAAATACGAGTGGCACTCAATAAGTTATCTACCTGAATAAGAAAGAAACATCCGAGAGGAAAAATTACACTTTATTATTCAATGTAGTCCCCTTTTAACTCAACACACTTATTCCAATTTGATTCCAAGGATTTTATTCTCTGGGAATAGTAGTCAACTTCTTGTCCATCAAACCAATCAGGAACGGCAACTTTCAGCTCTTCATTGCATGGAAATCTTTTTCCTCGCAAAAATTTTTTCAAGTGTCTCAGCAGAAAATAGTCACTAGGAGCCAGATCCGGGCTGTGGGGAGGATGGTTGAGCTCCTGAAAGCCACACTCCCTCACTGCAGCCTGAACGTTCCATGATTTGTGGACGGGCGCGTTGTCATGGAGAAGAAGGACCTCCCTTGACAACTTTCCTCTGCGTTTTTCCTCGATGGCATCATGTAAATTTTTCATGGTGGTAGCATAGGAATCGCCAGTGATATCGAGACATGTCACAGCAGGCACAGGCCTGTTGGTCACCCCTTTCATATTGAGGTAGATAACTTATTGAATGGCCCTCGTACGTGGATTCCAGTTGAAACCTATTATTTAATTACGAAAACGTACGACAAGGTCGCCGCGAAGGTCGATGAGTTATTTTTTCATATTTATTTAAATTCACTTTGAACTTCATAATTGAATTACTTACGTTACTTATCGATGGACTGTAGCGTCCCGTTCGCACAAAGCCTTTTCGAAATGACGCCCTTTTCTTTCACTAACGGGGAATCGTACTCATCGCCATGAATCCACGATGTGCCCCAAGAGCTGGGAAGACTTCCCCGTCTTTCCCTACCCCACTCCTCTCTCTCTCTTTCCCTACCCGAGTTCCTAGCAACGCTCGGAAAGATGCCCAACGTCGCGGCCGACCGAGAAGCCCCTCCCGAGACCACCCATCGAAGACGCGGACGAAAGGAAGGAAAAGACGAGAGGCTTCTCACCCCGGTCCGAGCATGACGAAGGACGATTCCTTCCCTCTGCGATTTCCGACGTCCTGGACGCCGGGTTTCAGGATGTGGACCACCCTTCCGGTCAACTGAGGATCGAAGTTCAAGTTATAGATGTGGGGAGTGGTCTTGCGCTCCTTCTCGATCTCCTTCATGGCTGCAGCCGGCGAGGCGCCCTGTTCGCCCTGCATCTGCTTCAGCTTCTCCTCGTACGTCTTTCTCATCTCCTCCATCTCCTTTTCGTTGGTCATCATGCGAGCCTTCATTTCTTCCTCCCACTCCTTCCGGAGAGCGTCTTTGTCCACCACGGTTCCGCTGAGGCCCATGCCGGAGAGATCCATGTTTCCGGATGCAAGCATCGCCTTCAGTTTCTCGTTCTCCTCCTTCAATTCTCTGAGGAGCTTCTCCGTCGGGTCCTCGTTGATGGTTGCGGTCGTCTTGATCTGCTTCGCTCTGTCCGCTGAAGGAACACGCGAGACGCGACTCAGCAGTCCGACTCTCGGAGTCTCGGATTCGTCGCTTTTCCGAGTGGGGGGGGGGGGGGGGGTAGGCACTCACCATATCGAAGTGTGGAGAGGGATTCATCGAAGTTGATGTCTGCCGGGCTGATGGCCGCAATCTGCATGCAAGGATTTGATAAGAAATAAAAGACTCGAGCTTTGGAATTCAAACTAGACATGGAGTCCGATATGATCGATCGAGGGATAAAGACGCGATGAAGCTGCGGACCCGAGACGCGTCGTGCCGTCCGTCGGATGGCATCCATCGGATCTCTTTCTACTCGCAGTCCACGGAGTCGATGGAGGCATCGCCCATACGGCGGGTTCAACCATGCGAGCATCAAACTTACTCTTCGAGAGTGGCACCCGGTTTATTTGTACACTCGCATGAATGCAGAAAACCATTTCGTGGAAGCACTCTCGCGGACGAAGGTCGTCGGTGGAAAGGACTTCTCACGCGAATAACTTACATCCTCTGTTTAAATATACGCCCGCGCGTATGAACTCGCTCTACGGAACGTGCGGTATGCCGATTCGGTCGATTATTTCCCGTCGAGATCGTGCTCAATGGCGATTTCTAATACCCGAGTCCACATACGAGAAACTGGAATCAAGGACTTCGTTTTGGGTCCGACTCGTCCTTTGGGTTACTTCACTTTGGTGGTGAGAGGGCTATTGCTTTCTTCGTTTTATGTTCTATTTCAGCATATGCAATGGGTGTTGTGCTTCCAACATCTTCCACTATTGACCTTCGGCGTCAATTTAGGAAGTATGGCTATATATACACTTACATTTTCGATTGCACATAATTTTTAAATAGGTTTTATTCATTGTACGCTTGAGCTTTTTGCATGTAAACTTTTTTTTCTAATGATAGTAGCCGATCGAAGATAGGATGCCCACTGCCATAGCTCGAGTCGTATTTCAGAAACTAGGTTTCCGATACGATCGACTCAAACGGTTTCAGTGCTCGGCTTCGCACACGACTCATCGATAGTATCTTCGGAAAGTATAAAATCTAACGACGGGCAGAGACGAAGCAAAACCTTCACGTATCGGAAACGGGAAAACTGACCATGACGGTCTTGGAGTTGCCGCCGAGGGCATTCTGAAGGAGCTTGGTGAGAGAAGAATCCCGGAAGGGGACTTTCTTCTTCTTCCCGTTGGAACTCTCGGCCAGCGCGTGGATGCAGTTGCCGAGGCACGTGAGGCTCAGGTTGATGGATGCTCCTTCCTTGAGTCGGGATCCCGTCGCCCCAGTGCTCTCCACTCGCTCGCTGCAATCCCCCAATCCCGATGCATCGTATTCATTCCTGCATTCTATTCGTTGACGCGTTTACGAGCCTCGAACGATTTCGAATGCTACAGAGAAGCAGCACTTCACGTGCAAATTACCATTTACCTGGCATTCCCATAGGTACTATGGAGAAATGCCAGATATTGCGGTCGGTCTGTAACTTTTTTTCTTCTTTTTTTTCTCTTTTTTTTTTCTTCCATTCTGTCCGCATTAACCATAGCGACCGGACAACACGACCCAATGCGCACGCGCAGCTTTCCGCCTGGGTCGGGGTGCCCGTCTTTCACGAAAACATCCACTCCCCTTTCAGCCCTGGCGGTTGACGTATCCATAGTAAACAATGGAGGAGAGCGGCTCCTCCCGGCCGCGTAGACAGGGTTGTTGGGCGCACACCTGAAATGCTGTATCCTACACTTCATTTACGCGACACGGACGCGCGGACCATCGAGAACATGTCTAGTTTCCAGGCTTACGCCGAACCAATGACAGCTATTATTTATTTTCAAGGTTGAATGGTTAGGATGCGGTAAATATATATAATAAATCCAGTAGTACAGGGGCCAGTGGAATGTCAGATATGTACCTGGGCTGGTACTCTCTAGTTTTTAATGCACCCAATTTTATTTTTGCTTCATTTCTATTTTTATTATTTGTAATTTTTTAAAATTTCTTTCACGTCCTATCAATGCCCGTATTATCCTAAATGTTATCATCGTTTTAATCTTCATCGACATTTTATTGTCTACTTTTCTTTATTTTTAGGATTCGCTCCGGACACGTGGAGCACACGTGCCTAGGCACGCCCCCTTCCCGTTTTCGTCGTACCTGCCGGCGAGGTCGACGAGGTTCACGATGGAGCTCTTCGCCGTCTCCTCGTTTTTGGCATTTTTGAATTTCTGCGTGAAGGTGATCCCGACGATGGTGTGGGCCCTGGACGAGGTGGCGTTCATGTTCGTGGCCGCCACCGTTCGGTTCAGCGTCCCTTCGTCCATCTTCGCCTTGATGTCGTCGTAGGACGCCACCATCACCGTCTTCAGTCCCTCGGCTGTGAGTATTTTTTTTCCCACACGCAAAAATCATTCGTCTGTGTTCTCCGCACGGAATCTCTTCGCGTGCATGACTTCGTTTTCTCGGTACTCTTTTCATCGCAAAAATATATATCTGCTCGACCGAACTCCGTCGAGTGAAGTCGTAACACACTTCTCGATTGCCTTTCTGGTCCATCTATTGCACTCGTCGAAAAACTAAAGCGAGGCACGCCGACTCGTGCTTTCCGCATTCGAGAGCGATGTTAGTTTTAAAATTAATCCAGGAGTTATTATTTTTACGTTACGCACCGTCACCCGAAAGACTTCCTCGACGAGTCGTGCGCGATCGGTCGAACTCGAGTTCGGAATCCAAACGAAAGGAATTAAGAGAGAGAGAGGGAGAGAGAGAGAGAGAGGGAGAGAGAGAGAGAGAGGGAAAGAGATGCAGACCGTAGAAGCCTTTCTTCGGGTTCTCTCGGATCTTGAGTCCCTTCTTCTGGTTCTTGGAGGCGTCGAGGAGGTCTCGGACCACCTCGTTGTAGATCTCCAACATGTTGAACTTGACCTCGAACTGGATCTTATCGCCGGTCTTCTTCTTCGCCTCCACTCCTTGGAACAGCTGCTCCGTGAAGAGCGGCACGATCCCTGCGACCGGGGGAGGGGGGGGAAGGGGAGGGGGTCATCGCAGGTCAGCCGGAGTTGCAATCGAGCGGTCGCGTGAGCACCATCTTCCGATCTTTTAACTTCCACTCGAGCGAGCAAAAACGGAATTTTCGACGGAAATTGCAGGAAAATTCTGGCGATGGCACGACAGAAGGAGACGAGTCTACTTTTGGCGAAATCGAACCGACGTCATCACCGTATCGAGTGCGTCGCGATCCCGCTTCCCGGCATAAGACTTCTTCGCATCTGCTATCTATTGAACACTTTCGGTCGGGTGGGTTGCATCGAAGTCGAACGGTCGGGGAGGCGAAGTGGAGAGGAATTTTAAAATCATCCTCCCGAGAAATAGCGAAAATGGACTCATCGCCTTCCGTCGTGCCGCCGCAAAATTAGGGTCCCTGCACGGCCGGACGTGCGAGACGAGAGAAAGTGCTTCCCGCGTTTCGATCGTCGGTTTACCTTTGTTGGGGCCGTAGCCGATGACGGACCAGGACTTGCCGGAACCGGTCTGTCCGTAAGCGAAGAGGGTGGAATTGTATCCGTCCCAGGCGTTCTTCAGCATCCCCGCACCGAGGTCGTCGAACACGCGTTTCTGCAAGGAACGAAGACCGTCGGTGACCCTCTGGAGCAACGTTCGCGCGAAGTCGGAGGGTCGGAGCGAAGGAGTCTCGCCGAGGATCGTCGCATCCCGAATCTCGGTCCGCTGCGGCATTCCGAATGCCAGCACATCGTGGCATTCGGTGCCGCTATCTTTCGCATACTTTGTCTTAAAAGCTCATAAATATAGTGTTCAGCTCATGTACTTCACCATTTTTTTTTTTAGCAACTTTCAAACGGATTCACGGAATTCCCGAGATCGCATACGACGTGGCCGAATCTAAACTCGAGCCTCTGAGCGTACTTCTGGGGAAGTACGCTTCGGTATCGCCGGTACCGAAAAGTCGTCGGACTCGGAAACGGTCCAGATCGGGTCCCACCCCGCGAGTGCAACGGCATCTCTCGCGCCGAGATCGGTTCCGTGGCGTTCGCTCCGACCGACTTCCCGACGGAGGAACGAGGATTCCCGAGAGGGAAACGAGGGTCTCACCTGATCGGCGAATTTCCTGCCGTTGGGATGAGACGGATCGGGCGAGACGTAGCCGTCCGCTTCCTCCTTGCAGCCGTCGTGGGACCAATAGGAATAGTCGAAGGTGAAATTCTTCTTGTCGTCTTTGCCGTTGGGGTCGGCGATGGACGTTCTCTTCCCGTCCATGTCCACGATGCATTTCGCATTCCGTCCCAGCTCTCGTTTGTTGTGCGGTGCCGTCAAGGGAACAAAACGCGAGGATGCGAAATTCGAGCGAGCGAGGCGCCCGATGCCACTTTTTACTCTCTTCCACCGTCTCGAAAAGACGGAAACTAAACGCCCGAGAGGAGTCCGGCAAGGCGACCGCGAGGGCGGCTTCGCGAATGGAAACCGGGTACGTGCCTGCACGATCGCGGCTGTTTTTCCGTCGTGCGGAACGGTACGAGAAGAACGAATAACTTTTTTTCGTTTAATCGTAAACACGATCCCCTTCTCGATCTCAAACGCCTTTCTAAAAAAATTCCGAGTCGACGAGATGGCTTTGCGATGGTTCTGTGACCCCTTCGCGATCTCGATGAGACGATACCGGGTGGCGCAAGAAAAAACGCGTCACGTTTCGTGCTTTTTGAAACCGACTATAGAAATGTTAGCTTCGTCTTTTTTTGCGCATCTCGGAGAAAACACTCGGGATTAGGTTACCCGAAGGCTTAAAGCGTCTCGGTCGGAAACAATGGCCATCGAAAATAGTCGGCAAGAAGTGAAGCCCTCCGCGCATGGAGCCGGTGCGGTTTCGGCAATCTTCCAAAAATCGGAAGATTTCTCAAAATCGAGACCGCGAAGACTGGATTTGAGACCATGAAGCCTTCTTTCCACGACCCCCTTCGCGGCGATCGTTCTTCTCCGTCTGGTGTCTGGAGGCCGCAAGGGAGAAAGAAATCCACGGAAAGGGCGTTTCGAATGGAAGCGCCGGAGAGGGAAGAGAGTGGGGAGTGGGGGCTTTTTCCGATGGAATCCCAAAATTCCATCGGGAAATACTCCTTCCGTCTGGTCTCTGCACCCTCGTGTTCTTGCTTCGAAAATTCTGATCGCGGTGACGTTTTCTTTTGTCGGCTGCGACGTCACGTCACGGCGAGGTCAAGAATAATGCAATGAGGATGCAACACAAAAAGTTTTTTTTTTTTGAAGATCGATGGGGTGCATCAGAAGACTGCTGAAACCGCCGCAGGCAGATAGGTGAAAGAATACCAATTTTCTTACGTAAGCTTCGACGTCTCTTGATCCAAACGACCCAAAGAATTTAAACTCTCGAGAAGCAATTTTTTTTCTGATATGAAAAAAAGACAAAGCAAGTATTTCTACAGGTTTCATGAGGCATCAAGCAGAACGCGTTCTTTTTTTGCTTTCCGGTATACGGGAAGCTAACTTAAAGGAAAATGTTTGTCCTCGCGGCCCATCGGAACCCAAAGTGACCCAAATCGTCCCATTCACTCCACTTGAGCCTAATTATCCAGAAGCGACTCGCTACGATCGAAATGAACACAAATTCATTCATTCTAGGTCGAGGGATGACTTCAGGTCGGTCTAGAATCATTTGGATCGCTCCGGGTCGATATGGGACTCTCGACCTCGAGTGACCGATCGATCGAGGATAAATTAGGTTATGGTGGGTCGGTCGATCGACATGGGTCTCTCCGGGTCACCTGGACCCGATTTCGAGAAAAGTAACGACGGCGTCCAATGAAGTGAGCGTTTCGGTCCGGCAGGAGATGATCCATACCCGATGCATGCATCATTCCATCATCCATACATCATTCCTCACTTCGTACTCTGTGGCTCGCGGAAAACGGTGCAAAAGCGGCAGCACCCACCCACGTTTTTTTTTTATTACCCTGCAAAACGGCTTTCACGCCTTTTCACACTCGGATGGAAAAGTTGAGCTTCCGAGGTCGCGATCGAGGGTCTCTAACGATTTCGCAACGACCGCGGGCCTCGAAGGTCGGCGGACGGCGTTCCACGGCCGATCGAAGGTCGTAAACAATTCATTCGGAGCCCCCCCGATGGTCCGCCCTCGTTACCGCCCTCGTTACGTACCGATTCCTCTCCGTCGTGACGACGGTCGCGTGTTTTCCTCGTCGCGGCGACGCGAGACGTAGAAAAGGATATGAATGGTCTCACCCGCACCGCCACTTTCACGTTCTCCTCCGACATCTTCGATGGCCTGCAATCACAAAATCCACGAAATCTTTTTTTCAGGTGGAACGGTGACTCTGCGCTTTTAGGGTCGGGGATCCCGATTTCCACGGCAACGCGATCGAGGAAAGGTCACTCCGGCCTTTTCTGGATGCACGATGAGATGAAACGTGTCACGATCGCGACACGTCTCATCTCTTGATGGCGACTAAATAGTGGAAACGGTACAGGATGAATTGCACGGAACCTTCTCTCATTTCCCCTGGCTTTTCGTCGTGGTGCATGCGACACGATATGCGAAAAGTCCCTCTCTCCCCCCTACCCCCTCCCCCCTTCCCCGCCTTTCGATCACAGCATCACGGTAAGAGCAGAAACGATCGGGACTTCCAACCGACAAAGACCAATCTATCGAAACGAGTGGGCCTTTGTGACGCAAAATTCCTCCCGGAGATAATTGCACGAAAAACATATGACGCAGGAACTCCACCCTTGCCCCTTGCAGGAACCCCACCCGTTCATGGATGAATTTTGAATGGGCCGAAAGGTGGAACGTCGTCGCGGCCAAACACGCAAACCGAGCGCGCGAGAACCCGGATTCCCACACCGTCTCGGCGATCCTCACGTTTTCCAAAGACTAAAAACTCGTAAAATAGGCGTGGTTTCCGAGACCTCCCGACCGATCACGAACGTGAACGCCATGCGATGCCGATCGGGGAATCGACAGTTTTGAGAAAAAATGCAACGTTACCTGTTCGGCCTTCGCTCGTAAACGTCGCAGAGAAAAGGAAACACGACAATTTGCAGGAAATTTGGCCGAGTTCGCGATCCGAAACCGTCACGGGAGATACAGAAGGCACGCGGCCATAAGCGAGAGAGAATCTTCGCCTCGAGACTCAAACTTGAAAAACACTTAAACACGTGATCGGTCGATGGACGCTCGGAACGGGTGGAAGGGAACTCGGTTGGGACTCGGTCACTCGGGGCAGTGTCTCAGGCGAGTCCCCGTCCGAGACACTGCCCCGAGTGCACGAAAGAGATCGAAAGAGGGTCGCTCTTCACCCTCTGGGGGAACAGAAGGTCGGACGCACACGTAAGAGAAGAAGATGAGGATGCACCGAGACGAAACGGGATATCGCTCGGACCGAAGCGGACGAGGTGCCGACGAGACGGTCGAGGACTGAACGAAGGAGCTTATCGACGTCTCGAGGGCGTGGGTTTCTCCCGGGGCAACCCAGGACCTTGTGTATCCGTCCCCATAGAAACGTTCCACGTCCATCCGGGATGGAAGCCCGTCACCGAACGCCTCCCGCGAAGCCGCCTCGATCGAGAGACGTGGGGATTCGTCGATCGATCCGATTCCGAACCGATCGTCGAGGCTTCGGCACGAAGCTCTGCTTCCACGTGCGATCGTTCACGGGTACGGGGCGGATCGAAGCTGTCGCTCCGATGTTTCCTCGTCCTGTTCGCATCCCACACTGCCATCGCGAGGCGACGGCACCACGACGAGGAAACCGTGTTTATTTTTGTTGCTCCGGATCATCCGAGCTCGCTACAGCTCCGGGAGGTGAACACGGTAAAGAGAACCCTGGCCATTACACGGTGTGACGATCGTGTTCTCGGACTGAATCTTTTATGAATGAGGCAATATCACGAAAACAATTCTCGTGCTATGGACTGGTATCAGACCGTCGGGTAGTATTGCGTGAGTCCTCGCGTAAGAGGACTCCAAAACTAGTATCGTAAACGAGAGATCGACCGGCAGTGTAACAACTCGGTGCGTGAAGCGTCTGTTGCGTTCCCAGAGAGAGGCAATGCTTCGTGGAGTTCTGTCTCGAATCTGGGAATACGGCAGCAGCGATCCATCACATGTTGCAATCAGTGCATCGACGAGTTGCTCGTCGTGCTCCAAGAACTTCGACCGGTTTTCAGCAGGTAAAGAAGACGTCGGTTTTGCGGTCGACATTCCAACCGTCGACCGGCATCCATCCCGTCCCGACGCGAAAAACTCGAGCGGTAAAATTGAAATGAAAGATTGCATTTGGGGCTTGCGTGCGTTGCGATCCGTCCCGAGTTATCTCCCGCACCGTTCGGAGTTTGCAGCCGAAAGAGCGCGACGCGATTCATCGGACACCCACCGGAGCAGGACGGAACTTCTGGAGCAGTGGAGACGAAGGACACGCCGTCCACACTACGGTCTCATCGTCGGTGTTACCGACGTGAGAACGGTGGGGGCGGAAGAGATACTTCTCCACTAAAAAAATTTAAGGAGCGAAAGCCAGCAACGGTTCGGCTGATAGCAGAGTGAACCGAACATATAACCGTCCAAAAACAGCATCGTCGAGTAGGTATCACTTGACGTTTCTTCTCACGACGTATTTCGACTCCATGCCCAAAACTGAAGTTTAGGGAAAATATTTTTTTTTATTGCGCAGGGAAGACCTGTTTAAATCGAGTTCATACCAGTGGCGGCTCGTGATGCGGAGCAGAAGTGGTTCGTCGATGGAGACGGATAGGTCTCCGATAACGAACTTACTCCTGCTGCACATCACGAGCCACCACTGGTTCATACATATTCTATTAATACTCGACAGAATGAATTTATTACGGAGTCGAGGTGTCACGTGCAGGAAATCTGTTCAAAGAGTACCTTGTCGACACGAAGCGAGAGTATTTTTCAGAACCTTGCCTCCTTCCCGAGAATCACAGGTGTGGGTGCCTAAAGAGTACGTTCTGGGAAGGCATTGCCTCCATCCACATGCAACCGAACCACATCGACTCAACTTTAGTAAAGTGACCCAACGTAACAGAAGTGAACTAATAGGCCAAACTTAGGTCTAATTATCCTAAAGAGCTCCAGGTTTACTAACATCGACAGTGACCCAATTTGATCCAGAGACCCCGAGGCCCAACTCGAGCCTCGTAATCGTGGAATAACCTAGGTTTGCTAAAACTGACCTAAAGTTACCCAGGGTCATCAAACTCGACTCATTGACCGAACTTGAGCATAATCATTCAAAATTTGTTAACTTCGAGCAACTCAGTTGCAGCGTATTTATTCTAAAGCAGTTGTTCTCACACTTCGTTTCACTCCCATAGAACCTTCATGCGACCAGGTGCTCGCGACCCCGTTTGAGAACCACTGCTCTTGAGTAACCCAATTCATCATAACTGACAAAGTGACCCAAAATAGACTCACCTATTCAAGCTCGTTTCCGATTGATCCAAACTTAATTTTAAAAACTAACTTGAATAGACATGAATAGAGATTACCTGACTTCAGTAGTTAAACCATCCTTAAAGCATCCAAATGATTGGCTTGTTTGCTCCCTCTTATTCAACTGAAGTCCATTTTTTCCACTAGTTTGCTCAAGCTGAGTTAATGGGTAAATTTGGATCTATGGATAAATATCAGTCATTCTGGATCACATCATGAGTAAACTTGGGGCACTCAAGGATAATTAGACGGAAGTTAAGCAAGTGGTTAATTTGTGACACTCTTTGGGCCAATCTAGGTTAATATGAGTAACTCCGTCAATCTTAGTAAATCTGGGCTCTTAAGAATAACTTGAACAACTCAAGTTAGGCCAATGAATTAGATCATTCTGAGTAAAATTCACAAACTTCAGGCATAATTAAAAAATTTAGCTGAAGTTGAGTCAATGAGTCAACTTGGGTTACTTTGTCATTTGGACCAGATCATGCGAATAAGATCGCTTTGGCATTACAGCATCAAAACAGATCAGCTGGTTAGTTCCAAGTACACGAGGCATAAAATTCTCCCCATGCCACTCACCTATATTTCCTGACTTTTGTTACAATCTGTATATAAAAATACTCAAATAAGAAATGCTCTTACTATTCTTGTAAATGTTCCAACCTCAAGGATCCACTCTTCACACATTCTGTCACCTCATCAGGGCATGATGAATGTAAGCTGTTAGGAATTTATTAAGAGGTTCATAAAAAAGCCATGAGCACAAACACACATCAGTTGCAATACTGAACTAGCCGCTTGATTCGTCTGGTCAGGATTTCCAAGGCTGTTGGCCCTGTTGAAGTGCTTCTTCCCAATATCTGCAACATAAAAGGTGTCAATCAGTTCAAAGACCAATATCAAAGCAACCAAGAAAATATGCCAAGTGTCGCTATTAAAGTCCTCTTGAACAACTGCAGGAATAACCAGCATTAGAAAAAAAGAAGGGAAGAGAAACCAAATGCTTTGCCAAAATGTGTCTTAACAGGTACAGCTCTGTAACGGTACTCTTGAAGGTCAACTTTCCCCCAAGCAATCACTTCCTCTCCACACTTTAACTTATGAAAACAATATTTTCCTATTTTTATTATAATGATTTGTGAGGGAATGTATCTAGATGCTTTCTATAGAATACCTGCTGGACTTGCTGTAAGAGAAGGAACAGGGAGTCAGAGATGCAACTCGGGAGGTCGGCCTTCAATTTCTCATACTTCTCTTGTTTTAGTTCTGAACCATGAATCCCAATGTCTCCTTTGGCCTTTTCTTGTTCACCTGTTAGAAGGAAAAGAAATTGTAATTCATAGGAATAAAATCTATCACCAACATCCACATGCTTTAGAATGGTAAGGAAACAGTGAAACAGGTATGCTGATTTGCTTCAAGATGAGGAATGCAAAAGAACCATCAATGCATATCCTCCATGAACCTCTGTTAGGAGTTGTGACTAATAATTTTCAAAGAAATTCATTCTTTGGCCCACCATGCCAATGCTAGGTTTAACAGCAATGCAGTGGTTTCATGCAGTCACAAGTGCAAAACACTGCACTTTGGGAAGTTTTGGTTTGCAAATGCAGAAAAGCAAATGTAAAAAAACCTCAGATTTTAGACACAGATACTTACAAAACAAAAATCTTAATTTCAGTCTCTCTGGACATGGCTGCTACAACCTCATGATTTTTCTCAAAGAATGATTGGGTGGGGCTGAATGATGAACTTTTGTAAGTGGAAAAACAGAGCTTTTTTCGGATCAAGCTCAAGCCAGCTTTAAATTCTTAACACCATCTCCTTTTTCTTTCCCCTCTCTCTTGTCTGTCTTCTTTTTTGTTTACCATCCCATTCTGCATTTCAGTATGATTTCTTTGCATCCAAATTTTATTTGTATCCTCTCAAGTAAAAAAAAAAAATATATTTCACTCTTTTCAATGCTTTTTTTTGCACTTTGTCCAGATTTCACTCTTCCCTGAAGAGAGGCATCAGGCTTCAAAAGCATCTGTCACTATCATAAATTACCTTCAAGGGGATAATTGGAGCATTTCTGTTTCCTTCCCATGAGTGCATGTGGATCACAGAACTTTGGCAGTTGTTCTGCAGGACTTTTCTTTATTCATCTACTTTATTTGTCAGCTTTTTCTGAGCATTATAGGCACTCAAGACCATAAAATATAAAGTGTCAACAGGGAAGAAGAGATGGCCAGCATACTCTTTCTTGTGAGCATTGTACTTCTTTTCCCTCTGCTAAAGAAGTTGATTTACTGAAGTAAGAAAAATATATATCATGAGATAGGATGCCACTCCAATTTTCAGTCCTGATTGCCTCTCGTAACTACTTGGCATGATTGCTGCATTCATCCGTTATGAAAGATTTTATGTTGATGATAGCATGTGATCTCAGAATACAGCATATGTAGGGAAAAATAAAAATGCTGCTGTCTATGAGGACCACACAATGACCAAGATGAAACAGAAAAGCACAAAAAAGGGCATGTCCAAAGAAAACTTGATACTAGATGTGACACAGTGAAAGAAAACTGGGAGAGGTTGAGGGACTAACGGGCAGGAGGGAAGAGTGCTGGTCGTGCCGTAGGGGCCCAGTGAACAAGGAAGTACTCCAAATGTTGCCAGAGGAGATAGAGGGAGGATTCAAGAAGGAAGGCCACCAGCATCTTATCTCTTTCAATCCCCTCTTCCACCCACACCAGCTTCCTCCATGCCTCCTCCTTCAACTCTCCTGGTCCCATTTCTCCCTTCTCCTCCACCAGCTGAAACTACCATCTCATCAGAGACATGCAGGACAATGAGAAGAAGAGTAATATAGATGCAAAGGAGACCTGTTGAAGTTGATCTGAGGAGAGTGTGGAAAAGGCATCTTTTTTCTTCCTCATATTTACTAGATCCTCATGCATGGACAGGAAAAGACGGGCATAGGTCTTCAATCCCCTCAGGAGCACTCCCAGAGGTGGAAGTCCAAGTAGGTCACTTTCTCCTGAACAGGGCACAAATTAGATATAAATAAAAGGGGAGGTCCCAGAACCCATGACTGAAATGGAAAATCCAGTATGACAATTGAAAATGAGCAAAAAGAACAGATGAGGAGTTACCCCGATAACCAGGGATGTCAACAGTAACTTCATCAAGAAGAGAAGGATCAAAAAGGATCATCCTGGCTGCCTTGTCAGGTTTCCAGTGGCCAGTCACAGTCACCAGATGCTGCAGAATATTCCCTTGCACCTGACAATGATCATAACAATCATTCACCATACAACACTACAACACATAAAAGCTTGAGAGGTAGGAAAAGTGGGGTTCATTTCTAAAGGCAGCAGTGACTGTCAAACTAAGATCTGTAAAAAAAAACACCTCAAGGACTGCAATACTATTCTGAATTTTGCACATGAAGGATTGGGACATGGACAGAGAGAGATGCAAAGACATAAGGAGAAATAAGAATAGTTTCTCATAATTTTCATGAGTGTGTATATATATATTTATGAGAAAAGTCAGTGTGTGAAATTCCACACCAGACCAGCTAAATCTTAAAAAGGATACTACTTGAAGGGCAGCCAGAACCACAATTAAACAGAACAGTTAAAACTATGGTTGTATCTGTGCATCAGCAACCATCAGTATCAGCTGCCGATGTGGCACCATCAGTGGCATCAGCCATTGACAGATTTGCAAGCTGCCAGTGCTGATTGAAGAAAAAGAAAAAAGAAAAAAAAAGTGAACTGGGCACAGTAAATTATTCTCAATAGTTTGATTGAGAAATGATTCTCAACTTTCTGCAAATACATCTTTAGGAGTTCTCCTGCTATGTTTCATCTGCCAAACCTTCCGGCTACAGTTTTGAACAATTTTGAAGACCACATGGTCACTATTGAAATTGGATCATTTGGCAAATTTTATCCATGAATATTTATGTCACACACTTGAAACTCTAATTGATTACATGGTATGCTAGTGCAATCTTGCATACCAAATTTAATTGAGACCACTCAACTCCCTCATGGTTGCAATGTTTTTTTGGTGATGGTGATAAGTATTGCTTTGCTGGAGTATGATAGGCTTTAAGCCCTCTTCCCCTTCATGAATTTAGCTTAATCCTGGTGCATCCCCATGGCATATTACATTCAAATGTACTTCCACTCCAGTTCAGTTTCCAATAAAGAAAAAGTTAACCATGGTTTACTGCAATCATATGGACCTTGATGTCAGTCTCAGCTCAATCCTACATACTGAGTGTTGCATATTTTTTAAACAAATCAATGTGCTATTGGTGATTTAAGTCAAAGGAGTTTTACTTTCAAAACTTCATGAGTGACAGTCCAAGCCAAATAATACAAAAATTATTATGGATGCAACAACTTTTTACCATTATCATTCATTGGCCTGGATGGCTTGCAATATCAATCAGATGAACTAGTTCCAATGTCTTAATTTTTGCACTTGCTTGAACCCATGTCTGCTCACTTTATTAGGAAAATTCCCCTGACTACTGTCCCTTTGAATATATCCCCAACTTGAAATGGAGAGTGTTAGGGAAGTAGCACTTACAAGAAAGGCTCTTTCCATTGCTTGAAAGCAATGCCAGCCACTCAAGAGAACAATAAGAAGATGAAATTTGAGGATGTCCATGTGCAAATAGTGGGACCATTATTATAGGCTCTGATACACAAACTCACAAAACTCATGTTGGTATATGTTACATCAGCTGGCATGATGATTAAAAAATACCAGGACAGTTCAAGTGTCATGCAAGCTCAGGTCTAGCTACTACAGTCTGTACTTATCAATATCTGATCATATTGTCACAAAATATACAGCATTTCAGACATTGCAACATGCTGATATTGTTTCATCTCTAGAAAGAACAAGTAATCCTCCATCATGCACAGACTCATCTACAGGATTGATCTTCCTGTAAGGTTCAAGATGGAAAGAACATTACATATATTATTAAAAAGAACAGTATTATCATATCACTAGAGGGAGGGATGGAGGGAACTACAGTAGGATGGTCAAATTATGCTTGTGAGAACCTAAAAGAATGGTTAAAAAGAAATTCCACATTAAAAAAAGGGAGGGCACCTGGAATAAAAGGTTGCGGGAGGTCTTTTCCATGGCCTGGACATCCCTGAGATTCCTTTCAGAGGTCATCTTTGAGATGAGAGAAAGAAGGGCTTTCAGGAAGCGAGTCTCTCGCATTTGATACTCAAGCTTTTCTCGTTTCTCAGGAACATCTGAAACAGGATTTCTCAAATTCAGCACGTGATATACATGTCCTCCAATTAGAAAGGCTCTCAGAATTGGATAGAGTAACTGACCAAGTTGAGCAACTGAGGCAAGCAGATGTGTACAAAGAGCAACTTTTCTCAATGCTTCAGGATGCTCCTTGAAAGGACTTCGAAGTATGCCCAGGATGAGATCACTATGACGGCACAAAAAACTCAGGCACTGGCAAAGAAAAAAAATTTGTCTTTGTACTGCAAAAGGTAGACACCACAAATAAATTATTGCAAGGAAAAAGACCAATGTACATGTAATGCAGCTGACTCATTCTTGGGTCCCAAGGTAGTCATTATAGAGATGCATGTCTGGAATGCACTCTCAAACACTTGATTGTATCTCTCTTCACAGGATGGGAGTACCCAGTGACTCTCCCTGGAGAATATACAGTATAATATATAGTAGAGCACAGATTTTAAACAGTACCACTAATTAACCCTGTCTCATTTAAGAAAAACCTCCTTTTTTCCCCTCTCCTTCCCCAACCCCCACCACTCGGCCCAAGCAAGAAGGTTTTTCTTAACTGAGACAGGGTTAACATAAACACTACTCTGTGACCAGATGCCACCAACCAAATATCATTGAAGTTTCATTGCATCTAAAGATTCAATAGCAGAGGTATATGTATTATCATCCAGAGAATATGTTGCTAAAGCAATTTAGCAAATAGAAGGAATTTTAAAATATAGTATTGAGTAACAAACTCCTCAGGGATAGTGTAACAGTGTGTATGAGAAGAAAAAGAGCTTTGTAGAGATTTTCTATAGATTTTGATTGGGGTAGTACTTTTACTTTTATCTATTTATTTCTCCCATAGGGGTGAGATGGGAGATTTAAAAAAATTAAAAATAGGTGACTACAGGGACTGAACAGATGGAATTAAACAGAAAGTAAACTTTTAGCTTTAGAAAATTTTGGTTAGCTCTGGAAATTGAAGCCCTATTGAAGTCAAATGCACCAACATTCTTGCTCAGAATAATTCTATTCATCTTGTAGCTTATTGCTTGGTTACATTCTCACTGTGAAATCTATTTTATACATCTGATCTGTGTTCTACCTTTTTCATCACTCTCTGAAGCAGCTTCTCTTGTCTTGATTTTCACTAAAACTGCAATGCTAGATTAACCCTTTCAGGAGAAAGGACATACCAGTACATCCTGCTTCTTTATGTGAATGGCTTTGAATAGACAGCTTTGAATTGAAGGCGCATGCACATCTCCAGAAAAACCCACTCCTGAAAGGGTTAAGGAAGCTTCTCTTCTTGAAGTTTCCATATTAGTGAAGGAAAAGACACATTTTCGGCTTTTGGACTAACCCAGCATCATGACTATCAGCAGGAGCAGGGAGAGGAAAGTCAAGGAGGGTGAGCCGAGCTAGAAATCCTGCCTGGAGAATCAGCTGGGCCCCCTTCTTATTCCTTGATAAGCACATCACCAGCAGCTACAGCAATGATGACAGTTAAATCAAAGTAAATAGAGCTATGAACTTTGAAGCAATCAATTTTCAAATGGAGAAGGGGGAAGCCCCACCATGCGAGCTTTGTACATCTCAATAGCCCTGAGGGGTGAGGAGGGGGAGGCAATTTCCTGAAGCAGTTGGGAATCTCGACTCGTCACGGCATCGATCAAGTGGCGTAAGTGAGTCCGTGAGGACAAAAATGACAGCCATGCTCCACGTCGATCCATGCTGCAGATCAATGTGAGGCATGTCATCGCCTCCAACTGTTGAAATTGCAGTAAAAAATACTCTTGCACTTCTCTACATCGGACAGAGAAAGTCACAATTTTCACAAGGGGGGCCCTGGCAACAACCTTTAGCACTGATGTCTGCTGTAGAAGTTTTGAGAATTACAGGGCCAGACTTCTAGTTAAATTCCCTAGCAGACAAGCTGGTCTATAGCAGTTTGTTTCCAAGAAAATTACAAACAAGACAATATAGAACAACATGTCCATAGCAAAGTATTGTGGGGAACCATAAGCTGGTCAGAAACTCCATCTGTTAACCTGGTACATCAGAAGACACCTCCAAAAATTTGCCAGTGCTAGACTCAAGTCAATGACAAAATTCCAAAAGCCTGCATGAGAACTGCTGCTCTGCATTAGAAGACTAAACACTGATTGCAACAGTACTCTCACAAAGAATCTTGCTCAATAAAGTATATGAAATACTAACATGCCATTTTCTTATTCCATGGAATTTTTAATGCTGATGAGGTAATATGTAAATTCTTACTGAATTTCATCATCCTTTCATATTATAGTATACTCATTTGGTTGCTCTTTCTGCCTCTTGTTTTCAATGCATGTCATCCCACCCCACACCTTAGACTTTCACTAACCTAAACCTTTTCCCTTCTGATACATAACTCCATGAGAATGTCAGCATTTTCAACTGTAAAGAGCCCACTACACCTTCAATTCCATCTCTCTATGAAATGTATGACAAGAATTTGAAATAAATTCTTCTTTCTACGCTCAAATCCCAGTTGATAACACATGAAAGTTCAGAATGCTCTGAATGAGTGATAATAAGGCCATTAACCAAGCTTAATGCATGTGAATGCTTACTCAATGCATCATAAATTTTTGTTTACAAATAGATGCTTCTGTCACAGTCAACAAAGGTTATATGAACAAGATGGGGTTGATTTTACAATGTTGAATCTCAACCCAGTTCAAATGGATGACAGATATTCAGATACTATCATATAAGTCAAAGAAGCTATTTTAGCTGCAGGGATGAGTAGGCCTATGTCTTCAATTTGAGTTGAAACAGTACCATTCGTGGCTTGGCATTTTCTTGCCCGATGTGTTTTGTATCATGTCAACAGACAAAACCATGAATAGAGAACATTGTAAATTGTCCCAATTCTATGTTATGGAGTATAGCACTTCTCAAAGATGTACATAAAGAGACTGAGTGTGATGCATTGTGCCAACCAGTTCACCTTGACTATATCGGGTCCATGGAAGGAATCATTGACAAGGACATTCATGAAGGCTTCTCCATATGAGGAAATTCCTTCCAAGGCAAGGGTACAGAAGCGGTCCTGCTCCCGTTCAGATATGAGGAATTGTAGCTTCTCCCTCTCCTTCCCTTGACCCGTGTCACCCATTCGGAGAAAATTCACTAATGCACCATACAAGTGGAGGCGGACACGTTGCTCACTCTTCCCTGCACAAGAAGCAGACAATTCAAATTAAGGATCAAACTTTTGAGGAGCATGGATGTATACATTAGACAGGACATGGTAATTTCCTTAAAACCTGCTTCTTAAATTCTCTGCTTAAATTCTTTAAGTTTCACTGCAATGAGCTAGAATATACTATTGCACACAACCAGTGGCATTACACTTTCATTAGAGGTAATGCAGCAGTGGACGAGTACTTTCACTGGCTTAGGAAATGGACTTCATGATCAGTTTCTATCATGTTCTACAGTTATACCAACGGACAGCTCACGGGTTTTGAGGATGGTGACAAGGAGCTTGTGGAAAAGAGTCTGCAAGGGGGCTTGAGACTGAAGGAGATGGGTAGAAGACTTCTCAGCATTCATTAAGAAACAATGCCTGAGGTGGGTGACTAAGAGAAGTATCACCCCTGATGCCACCTTCTTCAGGTCCCCCACTACTTCCTCGTGGAGCATCTGGTCACATGGAACACATCATATGTTTTGAGGAAAACCTTCAATGAGTTGGGTAATAAAAGCAGGCACACCTTTGAGAGAAGTTCCTGGGAAACTTCACGGAGGAGATGATGTCGTGTTCGAAAATTGTGTGGTTCTGGATCGACAACAGAAAAATAGGTACATGTGACTTGCCTCCAACCATCCAGGAACAAGTGATTAGATCCCATAACTTCCAAAGATCCATTCACTTTAATAGCATATGACAGGATGGCCTGAAGGATAAAACATAACACTGCCATTGATGATGGCAAAAAAAAACAGTCAAGTCATCCTCAGAAGAAACACAAAGGAAAAACCAACCTGCAATTCAGAAATGAAAGGTTGCTTGTGGAGCACAGCACCAGATGAGAAAAGTAGGTCGAGTTCCCGCTGGAGGATTGAATGCAAGCGCTCCACATGGATTAGTCCCACAGGCAATGATGCCACACTACAGGCCTCAGTGCATTTACTCAGGAGTTCCTTGACTCGTTCTTTTTCAAACAGCTCCAATGTTGGTGCTTCCACCTCCTTCCCAGTCAAATCCACATAATCAAGAAGGGAGAACAACTTGCGACTTTGTCTGAGTCTTGCATCAAGTCCTGTCCCATCCAACAATGCTGCATGACAAGTACAAAGGATGCTTTTCTCATAGCATTCAAAAATTATCTAATCCTATATAATGTAATTGACTTTGCAGATGAAGTTTGTTCCTATTTTCAAAGTCTTTAAATATCAGTATCAAACCTAAGCAAATGATAAGAAGGTAAGATAATCCATGCTCCAAACTTGAGGGGAGAAGGCATTGCATAGAACAGAAACCATTTGGGATAGGATACGAAAGCAGAGTTGGATTTAGAATTGCCTATAACATCATTATTTCTGAGCACTTTCATGGACAAAACATTCTCTTTTACATTCTGGCACCAGCACTTTGAAGGCTCTCTTGGAATTCATTGCTAGAGGTTCATCTGCATTCCTTTGTATGGTCATTTTTCAGGAAAAATGGACTTTCCATTCCAATGAATATATATTGAATGATTTATAAGAATCCAAATGTACAGATTCCCAGACACTGGGGCTAATGAATATATAATTAAGCAGCTGAGCATGAGCATTCAGCACTCTTATCTCCACTTACATCCCTATCATGCAACCACCACCACCACCTTCCTGGTCATCCAACTCCTCATGCCTCACATTTCCCTTGTTTCTACATATAACACATATTGTGCAAGAAAATCACTATTAGAATCAAAAGATGAGAAAGTGTTAGGAGAAAATCCTTAAGATGACCTTCCCATTTCAAAGTGCTTAATATTCACAAATTTTGAGTCATGGAGGCTAGACAGAACCCAAGCAAGCAGAATAGTAACATGAGTATCTCTTCCAAGTCCCCACCACCCCACCTCTTCATCCTGATGCCATTTGTACTCTCTTCAGCATACTAACCAATTTAATTTTCCATTATTTTAATGTTCAGAGGGGCCTTTGCTCATCTGAGCAGCAAATACTCCATGGATCCTCTTCTGAGCATGGAGCAACAGTCACAGTTTTTAGTTTCCATGTGCAAAAGCACAATATTGCTTTTTTACTGCAATGTCAGTTGCCCATTGTCTGCTATTAAAAAAAATACATTTGATTGATTTTCTACAGCCTATTGAAGCTTTCTGAAAAAGGGTAACCAACTGTGAACAATGTGAATTCATCTGTAATAAAAATAAAAAAACAGAATCACATGCTCCACCCTGTACAATGACAAATACATTGCATCAAAAATGCTCTTAAGATTTTGTTTGAAAGATTCACATTTTAATAATGTGAGAAGTGAAGAAGACTCACTTCCAGGAAGTCCAGTGTGTTGATGGAAAGATGAGACATGATGAGAGGAGGATGATGAAAATGATGAGGAAGAGAGCATGTTGGATTCCCCATCATGGTTAGTTCCTCCAATGAGGAGGGATGAGAGGCGCAAGAGGTATGAGCGTTGACCCACTGATGCCCCCACTTTCAGCTCAACTGCCACTGCTTTCATCAGCCATGCCATGGCCTGTAGTCTTTCAACTGTATTCCAGAAGGATAAAGACAGACCATAACAATCACAAAACAATTTGATAATCATTACCCTCTGTTAAATTTTTCCAAGAATGTGAGGACACCTTCCCACCACACCCCCACCCACCCACTTCACCTTTCATATATGCTACAATAAATTATTCACCAAAATTCTGATTAATATCAGGTTGTAAAGGTGAAATTTAGACATTTTCCGGAAAACAATTTATTGACAATTAACTCAACAATGACTAGAGTGCAGTCTTGCGTCAATGTATCTGTTGTAGGTTCACGATAAGCACTCACGCCCAGAATGCCCACTGGTCACTCTACTTATACACCTACATAGAAAGTTCTAACATTTTCCAGATTTTTCTAGAAAAATTCGAAATGTCTAAATTTCACCTTTACAACCTGATACATTCATTTCAGCTCTGGATCTGCTGATGACCTTTCAATCCAAAACTAGGCCCATTGCAATACATACTGGTCTCACCAAATTATGGTAGTAGGGGTCTCAATTTCAAGTATATTCATTAACCAGTAACCAATGGATACTAACCAGCAAACCATCAGTTGACCAAAGTCCCAAGAATAGCTAGCTTCCAACAAGGGGTGAAATTTGTCAAGGGAAAGAAATTAGAGGAACACAAGTTCTCCCCATCTTTTTATACAGGAGACAATGGAAGGGATGTATCATAACAGTTAATCAAAACTAAATTTTAGTAAACAGTTAATAAGGATAGGTCAGTTAATTGGTGACAGTTGATTAATGAGACTTCTAGTTGGGTTGGTAGCATTGATGTTTTCTATCAGGCATCATAATATATTAACAGAGAAGGAAAGAAATGGATTCAAAATTTGCAGACAGAAGCGATAATGAAACCACAAAGTGCCTATAAAAAATGAACAAAAGAGAGACAATATAAGATGGGAAGCAAGTCTATGGAAGCCACTTTGAAGAGGACATGAAAAAGTATCCCTGGAAAAGTATGTGCCCCAATCTACCTGCATGAGGCTCAGGTCTGTTTCTGCACCAGCAAGATGTGGTGCAACACAGAATCAAGCACAGGGAGCAGGATTCTTGCACCAGACCAGGACTGAAGCATTAGTTGTTCTTTCCTCTCCCCAGTATACACTGTTCATCATTATTACCATATTTTGCCCATGCATCAATAGAACTAGCAATTTAATTCATCAGTAATTCAGATAAATTCAATTGCTAGTTCTATCTAAAAATTCTAAAAATGTATGCATCAATCAGTAATTCAGATTGATGCATACATTTTTAAAACCAACATCAAGGCAGCTAAAATCTCCTCTCTTCCTCTGAGAAGCAGTCTCATGCTACAATTGTGAAAACTTATTGCAAATACCACTAATAGTAACTTGATTTAATTCTGAACTTTCCTATCAATTTTCTACCCCAGTCTTTCAAACTTTCCTTCTTCTTGGCATGGAAAATGTATCAAGAATACTGAAATGATCTTGAATAATCCTGATCACTTCCTTTTGTTAAATTAAATGGTAACTAAAAACATAGGATTCAGCAGCTTGATTTTTCACAAATGAGTAACTGGCAATAAATATGCATCTCTTTCTCACCCAGAGGTCCAACTTGAAAGGGCAGAAGTGCAAGATGTCGAAAGAGCAAGTCCCGAGATGTCCTCAAGTACCTCAAGACAGGCTCAGAAATCTCAGGAGAAGAAACAGCCTTGTAGATGACCTGATAAGCAAGACTACAAATGCCAGGTGAGTGTTGCAAGGCACGAGGCTGAGGGAGTGGGAGATCCACAGTGGGGGAAGTCAATTGGTCCAGGATTCCAAGCACTCCATGAAGGCATGACTTAGCACATCCCATTATCCCTGTGAATGTCAGGGCAAAGCCAATCAATCCTTCCAAACCAATTAAGCAAATTTTAATAAGTGTACCAAGGTTCATGAGCACTTCTTATAACATCAAGAAAGTATGTTTTCCTAAGCTCCAACTCCTTGTTGGAAATGAGCTATAGGGCATTACTGTCCTATGGTATAAAAACAGAGACAACATCAAGTCACCAAATAAAGCAATTAAAATTACTTGGGTTAAAGCCTGGATGACATGCTGCAATTTCAAAGAGAGAATTTGTTGGAGAGAGACCTTGTTTCATAAAATGTTATAACTTTCAAAACTGGACCATGATCTGTATCATGGCAAAGCCCCTCCAACAAAGCCAATCTGTGAATCTAAGACTTTACAGGTTGGTTTACAGATGAACATACAAGATGACCCATAAGACTCAACGCATATTTGAGTTGCTGTAGAGTGGAAATGTCAGAAATTTTTTCAAATAATCCTTGGCTTACATGAAAGCCTAATTCTCATCTTACAGGACACAGCCGACAGTCTATGAGGATCATGCCTCAATGATATACCAATGAGTTCACAAGGCACTACTAAAGTAATAAGACAAAATTTACTGAAACAAAAACACATGTATATATCTACTTTTCCATTATTTGTCCATTCCTCTTTGTTCTTATTTGAGTCAGAGAAATTGAAAAGTTTGCTAGCATCCTAGAAGCCTAATATGTTGGAGTTCTGACCTGGATCTTGCAAAGTCGAATGAGATAGTGGTTTATGTGTGTGAAATCCAAGAAGGAGATGACCAACATTGGGGATAATGACTCTCTGATCCAAACAATTAAGAATAAGCATGAGAACTGTTCTCATGCAGGCATATTTATCACCCTGGATGGCATCCCGGGTATCCACTTCCAAGCAGGCAAGGAAGGCATGCATGACTGAGCGTCGCATCTGGTCATTTTCGGTGAAGACGGCCAGGATGTGATTATGGGACACCGGGTGCAACAGGAGTCGTGAGAAGATCTTCACAGACACTAGAGCATGCTTTTCCTGCTCTTCCACATCAGTGAGGAACCTGTATGAAAGATGCACAATCCATATTTGCAGGTCACCAAACAAGATGGATACCTTTTAGCCCTTTCAACATCACTCCCATACCTAAAATGAGTGCCTTGCACAAATTCAGCATTATCGACCAACTCTTGACTCTTGACCAACTCTTGATTGCATAATACGCAGAAAGTCAGAATGAAATTAATGCTGAAAAGTTTATACTAGCAATGGGAGATTGATGTCTCACTATCAATAGGAAAAAGCTCCAAATAAATTTCCCAGAAGTCTCAGTTAACCCCTTAAATGGACTCGCCACATATGTGCGGTCTGGCACCTGCCATCTCTCAATGGACTCACCGCACATATGCGTTCGCGTGTTTTCTGGCTGGTTTACAATGGATTTGCTGCGTATTTGCGGTCAATTTTGCTGTGATGGGACTTGTTGAAATATCTGCCGATAGATGGCAGAAGCTTTTCTACTATGAGCAGTAATTACTGGTATTATCGGTGGATTATTAGGATCCCCCCGTGAAGTACTGTTTTTTCCATCAATTGCAGGTTCCTCATTTTATAAAAAAAAATGACTGACATCATGAACAAGGGATTGTAATGTTTTAGTGGATATCTACATGGTCTTACAATACACAATAGGCCTGCTATGAAATTTTGAATGTCTATCTAACATAATTATGGTAAAATTCGTGAAAAGGGGAATACAAGACAAAGCAAGTTACTGGTGCAACAGATGGCCCTGAGACCANACTGACATTATGAACAAGGGATTGTAATGTTTTAGTGGATATCTACATGGTCTTACAATACACAATAGGCCTGCTATGAAATTTTGAATGTCTATCTAACATAATTATGGTAAAATTCGTGAAAAGGGGAATACAAGACAAAGCAAGTTACTGGTGCAACAGATGGCCCTGAGACCAGTACATATGCAGTTACTTGCATATCAATAATTTTATAATACCCGAAAATACTTAAGTAATAAATATTACAATATATATCACATGTTTAATTATACATTATATATAATAATACAATGATAATTTAATTGTCATTAATTCTTTAATTATATAATAATGATTATATTATTTATTATAAAAATATGTAAATTATTTGAATTTTTTTAATGAAAAAATTCTGCATGTAATGGACATCTTAGAAAAATTTACTTCACTTTTCTATCTATTACAGTTAAATTTTTATGCTTAAAGTCATTAGGGTTTAGCAAGCAAAAAACCAGAGAAAAAAGGTCCCATCACAGATCCATCTTTTGCAAACCAAAGTTCCCAGTTAGGGGGTTAATCCGCCTAGTCAGAACAAAGCAGATGAGGCAAGGCTCAAGTCAAGGAATCGATAGAGGCTAAAGCGACTTTCTGCAACCCTTTCCCTGCACAAAATTAAAATGAAAATACCTACTTCACGTATTCCTCTGAGAGCATCTGGGGGAGCGAAATCGGGAATGCTTCGCACCCTCTCGGCACAGAATGACTCTAGTAAATTCGAAGTTCCACATCCACGGTGCTACGGAGAACACAAAATCTCTCTTTTTCATGCCGGTATTTTTGTTTTCTCCCCCCTTCCCCCCCCCCCACACACACACACAGTAGCCACTCCTGGGGGATTTCCGGAGGAAATAACCCCACCTAAAGAGAGAGCACTTGTAGAGCTCGTTAAGTGCTCTTTTGTGTTGACGATGCGCTATGAAAAAGGAAAAAGAAAGCTGTGAAAGAAAAGGAAGCTGTCGTTTGTTTGCTTTTATCGTGGAGTCTCACCACCTCACGGTTGCCGGATATTGTGCTGTAGTTAAGTCGGATTCATCACCGTTTCTGCTTTCGTATCGGCGCCCGGGTTTTCCGTTTTATATTTATTTAACGAATGATACATTTTGTGCGAAGTTCATGAAAGTCGGTGAGATCGAAGCAGCGATTAGCGGCGGCCGACACAGTTGGCAGGATGCATGGACTCATCGCACGTGGGCATCACTGCCGCTAATGGCGTCCAACCGCACTCGAATTTCGGAGTCACCGCAGGGGTCCTCATCGTCGAGATGGTTCGAGAAACCCCAGAGAGGCCAAGCGTCGCACATCCTCGCTGAAGTGGCTCTAAATGGTCAGAATTGGCCGTTCATCAGTCTTAATTGGCCCTTCATCGGTCTTAATTGGCCTCATCAAGTCGAGGGTTCAGATTCTCTTCAACGAGAGTAGGCAGATTCTGGCTTAACGTTAGTGAGCCTCTTAGAGAAGAAGGGGGGGAGGGGAGGGGAGGGGGTAAGTTGAAGAAAGGTCCTTTAAAAAGCCCTTTAAAAAATATTTTTTCTCACTACTTCGCTGCTGATTGTTATTACGCGACCGGTAAGAAGTCCGTGGGACCGCGATGGATGGCGACGGAACGGAAAGTGACGGCATCCATTTCGCTTTCCTCCTCCATCTGTGATTATCATATGTATTCGCGTGCTGTGTCACAGCCTTGGAGAGAAGCAGAGGATTGAAGTCGGAGTCCAAGACGATGTTTTCCGTTCGTGTCGTATGAGTAGTGATGGAGGCACGACTTATTTCACGATGTGTCGTGTTTCGCGCCGAATCGCATTGGAGTTGAGCAATACTGGCGAATTTGAAGCAGTAGTCATTATCTTAACCAGAGTCAATGAATGAGCAGACCGATTTTTTTTTTTCACGCAGTCTTCATTACCTTACTAGTTGCTGTTAGCATCAGCAGTTTGTTTCGGCACCGGCATGGAAGGCGAACCAGAAAAAAAGGCCTAAAATTCCCAGGTCAAACAATGTTTATTGCCCCGTAACAGGTAAAATCATGTGCCTTGCCCACCCCCTCCCAAAAAAATAAAATAAACTAAAAAATAATAATAATAAATAAATAAATAAATAAATAAATAAAATAATAAATAATAAAAATAAAATAAAATAAAGTAAATAATAATTATTATTATGATAAATAAATGAATAAATAAAACAATAATAATGTAAAAATAAGAAATTAGTAAATTAAAAGGAATATATTTTCCTCTCTTTCAGAAGAAAAACCAATATCGATCTTGAAGGTCCCGCGACCGCTGCACCCCGCGATGGCAGTGGCCTTCCGCATCGCCCGCGATGCAGGGGCCAATTTTATCACCGCCACCTGGGTTGCCACCCACCTGCATCGCAGCGAGTCCTGGGTCGCACAAAACTGGAACAAAGACCCGAGTCGACTTCGAAGCGTCCGCTGTCTCAAGAAAGAGAGGAAATCAGAGCGCTTTCCAAAATCCTAAAACTGTTGCGAATCACGCAATTAAGAAGCCAGTATTAAGTGATCAAGAAGCCAAAATTTAGTGATTTTTAATCATCCGTAGTTTTGTTGTTCATTGAATGAAGATGGTTTCCAGCCTCTTCCAGATTATTTTTGCTTCGATAATCAAGAAGCCAAATCAGCGAAACGACCGGAATTGAGCAAGGAAAATCCAATAATACAGGGAAGATCAATAATTTATCAAAATGGTATTCAATCCCAATCAGTGGTATTGAATTGATCTAATTGATCTAGGATTTGCCCGAACTCGATGTCTCCGGCACCTTGAGTGGAAATAAATACGTATTATATAATTTGCATATGGTACTCGGTGTTATTTATTTACCCGTTACAGTCGTGTCTATGAGGGGCAAGCGTCTTGAATAATGCAAATATGACAATTAAAAATTCAAACAATAATCACGGGCATTTTTTTTTTAAATCTTCCGCTCAAGATTTTATTGATTTAGGAAGAAGTATTCCTATATTTTTTGTCCTTTTGGGAATGAGTGTGGAAACGGGGCTCCCGCATCGAATGGGAACGGGGCTCCCACATCGAAAGGGAAGGTTCATCACCAAGGAAGCCTTGCCGGAAATGCCGAAACCGAATCAAAGGGCTCAGACTCACAGAAGAAGATGAGAAGCGCTTTTTTGGTTTGTAGATGGCCGAATGATTGTTTGAGAATGGCCAACTTTTCTTTTGTACCTTCCAGGAAATTTTACATATGCCTTATTTTTTTACAAATTAATTGTGCCTCGTATGAATATAAATTTCTTCAATGTGGTCGAACCATGAAGTCATGCCCATGAAGTCCTCAACCAAGCACTGCCAAGTCCCTGTTAGACCCTCCCTAGAGGTATCTCCTTAAAAAAAAACCGAAATCGTATAAAAATGGCTCATTTTATGCTCTCCAACGTCATGATAATCTGAGTTCCAGAGCAAGGCGATGTTGCATCAATATTGCTAATATACCATATGGTATTGCACATCAATTCCATATGGTATATTAACGGAATCGTTTTTTTTTTAAACAAGTTTTTGGACTGCGCAAATCATGAATTGCAAGCAATAAAAAAAAAAAATGGAAAATTTGAACAATTTATTGCGAAGTAAGCGTCGTACCGTTCTGAACCATGCGGGAAAGAATGCAATATTGCCCTGACAGGGTCAGCGTGATGGCCTCGAAAGGGAAATATGGAACGAGCAGTGAATGCGCAACATCAGCGGAATTTTGCAGCGAACACGCTGATTTGTATTGCAAATTGTGCTGCTTGAATCGCAAAAACCTAAAATTGTTTCGTTTGTGCATATCGAAAATATATTTATTCATGCATAAACATGCAGATGATTGATGTACATATTTTGCAGTTTTTATATCTTAGTCAACAGTTCCCTTTTGAGTCCAAATGGACATGAGACATGATGAAGTAAAGGCCTTTTTTCTCTCCTCAGATGGCCCAACGGTCGTGGTCGTCAACTACTACGTGCGAAGAATTGCGGGATTGGACGACGGTGACATGGTGAGTCATCGCTGTAGGAAGGAATTTCTTTCATGATGGTTTGTGATGACTTAATGATCTCGACCGACGAGTGATCGATGGCTAATGGTCAATATCTAATGACAAAATAATGATTTATGACTATTGATTAGTAATTAATGATTGATAGTTAATGGCGACCCTTGTTTGCCAGTTGCCAGCGATTCATCCAAATCATCAATAACTGAAAAGATATTTGGGGAGAAGTTCCTGAAAATTACCCAAAAACCACCTGAAGCCCTTACAAATAGATTAAAATTTGAAACTGTCGGAACACAATCTGATTGGCAATGTCCTGCTCGTTCGGCCTGGAAAAGTCCCGAAATTAAATAATTTTTGTGATTATTTCAGGAATACAAGGTGCAGCTGACCTTCCGACAGCAATGGACTGACGAAAGGCTCAAATTCGACGACGTGGGAGGTAAGGGCTCATTTTAAAGCTACTTAAAATAGTAATATATCAATAATGATTTCAAAAGAATTATGTTGGGCATCCCAGGGAAAATTAAGTACCTGACAATGACGGACCCAAGTCGTCTGTGGATCCCGGACCTGTTCTTCCAGAACGAGATCGAAGGGAAGTTTCACAACGTGATCCTCCCGAACGTCTTCGTGAGGATTTTCCCCGAGGGGAAGATTCTCTACAGCATTAGGTGAGGTTGCAGGCTCCGTGTTTCTCTGTCTCGGGCCGAAGTTCAACTTTTTCTGTGGAATTTACGTCATGGAGATGGCATGGATTTTTATGGATTTCGCATGCATTAATCCCATAAATATAGAGAGGCATGACGTCGCATCGCATTCCCCCCCTCAATTTCAGGAAATATAAAAAAATGCATGCGAATTAATTAACCAATGAACATCTCATAATGAACCATTCCCTTAAGCATCATATTTGATGTTCCCTGCGCTTCCCAGGACAGGATGGAAAAGAAGACGGGGGGGGGGGTGGTACGTGAAAGCATTCTCCGGCAAGGAATATATATAAGGAATGGTATGGACTACGGAGTTCAGTGCTCGGGGTCATTTGCATACATTTTGTTTTCTTGGGCTATCTTGCATCCCGGATAGCACACTTCCTTCGGCCCAGCGCCTTGCAGCCAAAGGCGGGAGCTGGTACTTTGCGGCGGCGTGTCGGCAGTGAAAGTATCGCGCCCGCCAGACCTCCATGCGATTTGTCTGGGTCTCGTCTCTTCAGCCAATTGGGCGATTTGGCGGGGTGGAGATGGCGCGGTTCGCCTGGCCTGTTGGACATAAACGGTCCTGGGTCACCGATTGTGCTACTTCAGATGGGGGCTATTTTCGATGCGTTGCTGGTAAACACCTTGGAAAGAAAGGGACACGTTCAAGGTATCCTCTTAGGAAATTCGGAATTCCGTCAGCAAAGGTCAATGCACTTAATATCTATCTGATTGGAAAGAAAGTTCTCGGAATTTCTTGAATATCCAGTACAATTTTCCCTGGGATGCCCAAGATAGCCCAAGAAAACAAAATGTATGCAAATGACCCCGAGCACTGAACTCCGTAGTCCATACCATTCCTTATATATATTCCTTGCCGGAGAATGCTTTCACGTNTTTGCATAAACGTTGGCGTGAAGTGATAGAGGCCAATGGTGATTACATTCATGATTGAGATGATTTTGCTTTTAAATAAACTGGGTTGTAATAATTGTTCATGAAATTCCGAGAACTTTCTTTCCAATCAGATAGATGAAGATACGCTTGCTTCCAGATGTCTTTCCCTTGAAATCTACAGTGCTGACATCTTCCCGCTAAACGCGTGAAGAATTGCGTCACTCATTTGAATGGGATTCGATATGCCCAGGAGAACCGAGATTCCCATACCGGGAGGCTTCTTCAACACCGGAATTCGTCAGTTGGGTCTTCTAAAGCTATTCAAACAGTTTTCATGCAAAAATTTTATTATGGGGGTCTCCGAAACCACTACGCGAAGTTGAGCGAGACTTACAATAGTCTGTACGGTTTCACGAGTTGTTTTTCTACTACATTTTTCAAGTTTAAAATGTTTGAATTTAGTACTTCTCTCGGACAGGAAACTGGATTTCTATATAATAAAAAAAGAGGAGGCGTTTAGGACATCACATGACAATATACATGTAATATGAACATTGTAATATCAAGAACTTATGTAGATGTGCGCCGTGGAATTATTTCAGCCCTTGGAAGGCACACGTGGGCGAAAGAGGCACCTTAGTTTCACATATGAAGAATGACCTTTTTACTGCCGTCCTCGTGTTACATTAAGGATGACTTCGACCAGTAAGAATGCATTTCCACTTGACAGGGTGTCGCTGACGCTGAGTTGCCTCATGGACCTGACGCTCTTCCCCCTGGACAGGCAGACATGCCAAATCCGGATCGCCAGCTGTGAGTTGCCCTCCAATTCGATTCATGTCACACGAATGAATGAAACAGAAATGAATGAATGAATGAAGGCTGTCCGCGTGGTTCTTCAAGAACCTCCATCCCCTATTTCCCCATTCCCTGTTGCCCGCTCGGTTACTGAGGCGTGCGGGAGAACGGGTGATGCAGGCTGCATATTCATTCATCAATTTTACCAAGCCCATATTTTCTACCTTATCCCATCTTAATCCCCCTTCGTTCTCCGAGTGAGGGTGGTAGATTTTGCTGAATCTGGAAGAGCGAAAGCTTCTAAAAAGCGAGATACCGAGTTACTAGCATCGATGGCATGAAAAGAGACAGAACCAGGGTGGAATTATGTGGCATCAAAAAAATATTTTGAATATTGATCTCAATTTTGAATAAAATATTTCAACACGAGAATATTACTCGGAGAAAGAGGTTCTCGGACGTAGACTTCATCTTCCCCCCCCCCCCCCCAGGAGACCCAAACCCCCGGCCTGTCGTGACAAAAACGAAGACTATTTCCAGAATTCCCCACATAGACATTCGAGAAACTTAATATTCAGTTGTAATTCAAATTGAAATCCCTTTCAGCCGTGTGATACTTGTCAGTGACCTTATTCTTAAAACAATGGAGACCACTTTTAGGCCTGTCCAGCCTATCTGTCTACTGTATATGTCCATCAGAGGTTTTCTTGTTACCTATTGCTGCCCTCTAACAGTGTTTAACGACACCTCTCTAACAAAGGCATAACACGAAAGCAGGTGCAATGATTTCCTATTCATTACCGCGATCTACTTCCGCCGATTCCTACACACGGGCTGAACTATGATCTGGGCTTCTTTGGGAGAGGCTGGCAGGAGAGGCTTTCGGTAAGCACGAGAGTTGGGACCAAGCCGTGTTCACACGCTCGGCATTTAATTCGTTTTGCCCTTAGTTTGGGCACTGGCATCGGTAGCTCGCAACCCTGCCGATGGCGTCGATGGTGCAACGGCGGCGGCAGATACCGGTGCAAGCTGATACATCGGTACAGTCCTAGTTTTAAGTCATGTGACCTAAAATGATACGATATTGGTAATTCACTGATTAATTTTCCGAAATTCTCATGTGCAAAAAAAAAACTGCCGTCTAAAATAAGTTCATTCTCTGAATGGTTTTGCCCTTTCAGACGGGTGGACGACCGAGGACATGGTCCTTCTCTGGAAGGACGGCGACCCGGTCCAGATCTCAAAGTCGCTCAATCTCCGGAGATTCAACCTGGAGGAGTTCAACACTGGGTACTGCAACAGTAAGACGAATACAGGTGAGTTTGCTTGAGGCCATCACAGGATTCGTTTTATTTTGGGGGGATTTCTCATCCGATGGGCTCTTTCACGAGAATACATTTTGGGACCCAACCTGGATGATTGAATGGGTGGGTTCTTCCATATAAATTCAACTGGGCAGTGCGCTTGACTGTCTCGGATATCGCGATAAAAATTATTAGTGATTGCAATTAACCCAACAACCCCGTAAAAAGAGGAATAATCTTAATCGGATATGCGGTTACCGACATATCACCACACGAACTTTAGGGGGAAAAGGGATAAACCTAAAGTTGACTAAAAAAAACAATAAGTTCAAAATTTCAATTGAAATTTTCTCCATGTTGCGGACCAGAAGTCAAACAAGTAACTTGCTTTATTGATTCATCTGAATAGAAATGCAATTTATCATTAAAAAAAACTATTTGCCTTTTCTCTCGCCACATACGAATATTTGGTGGGAAAATTGCCTGAATTTCATCTTTTCAAAACTGCTTTTCAAAATGATGCTGAAACCTCATTCGAACTGGAATTGAATTGAAGAGCTCTGGTCGAAGCTCTTGCATGCCTCCGCGCGATGAAAGGTTACTGATGTACAATTTGCCTATCGTGGGGATTTTCCCTTTCCCCCGAAGTTTGGGGGGTGATATCTCGCTAACCGCATATCAAACTTAAGTTGTTATTTTATTACGGGTTCTTAGACTGAAATAGCTGTTTTTTTTGCGCAAAATCGGATATGGTCAGGCGGCATTTTTTATATTGATATTGGGTGAGTTCGTATGGAATAATCCATGTGCTTTGATGACTGTGTGAGGTGTAAGAGAGTCTATCCCACACAGGAAAGTTGGGAGCATTCGTATTTAAAGACATTAAAAAATGCTATTGGATATCCTAAAGAAAGTGATATTAGGAAAAACCTCACATGGATAATGAAGAAGACGCAGTCATTCGCTGGCGGAACTTCATCGAGAAGCCAACATGAAAAATTCTACCCGCTTGAAATAAGAATAACTAAAAAAATTGGCCCTGCATGCTCCTAATATAGTTTACATTCTTTGAGATGAAAAATTAAACCAAGTGCATCTCCAAAGGAGAATACAGCTGTTTGCGAACTGACCTGGTGTTCGAGCGGGAATTCAACTACTACCTGATACACGTCTACATCCCGTCGTGCATGATGGTGATCGTGAGCTGGCTGCCCTTCTGGTTGGATCGGAGGACGGTGGTTGGGAGGGTGGGGTTGGAGGTCATCGTTTTGTTCACGATGGCTATGCAGGTCACTTTCATCAATGCTTCGTTTCCGTCTGTGTCGTACACGAGGGTGAGTGGAGAATGTGTATTGACGTCTTTTCTTTCCTGTTTCCCATTTTTACCTACTTTTCATTTTTCCAATTTAAAAGGGCTAGGACTGAACACCACAGTCTATTAATACAATGATTTAAAGCAGACATTTATAGAGATTGTGGGGGCCAGTCTTGAGGAAAGCAATCTGTCATTGGCGAACCTTGCATATGGACAAAACACAGCCAGAGTTCCATAAATGCTGAACCTTTCCCAATTCTCCCTCCGTAGGCTGTGGACGTGTGGACGGGCATGTGCCTCACCTTCGTGTTCTTCGCCCTGCTGGAGTCCGTCCTTGTGAGCCATGCCTCCAAGTCGAGGGGGCATCGAAACCGAGACCACACCGAACTGGAGTCCGTGCCCTTCGAGGTACAGCAACCCAAAGCGACTGCCAAGGGTCGCATCTCCATCTGGTTGGACAGGGTTCATTCCAGACCCAGCAAGGTGGACGCCATCTCTCGCATCGCCTTCCCTGTCTGCTTTGCGCTCTTCAATGTCGGGTACTGGGCCGGCTACCTCTGAATCACCACGGTGACGACCTTGAAACGCATCGGTATCGGTTCTGGGGCCCACATTCTGTTCCCTCATGTCATTCCGGGACCTCATCTCATTCCTGGACCTCACCCCATTCTGCGACCTCACATCATTCTGAGGCCTCATCCCTTCTTCTCAACCGTCATCCTTCATTACTCTTCTCTTTCCTTTGTTGCTGATGCTTATGTTTTTTACCCCTGTGTTAGTGATGATTGGGGACTTGAAACGTTAATATGCGTAAAAAAGGGTAGATTTTTTTTACAATCCAAAACCCAACGAATGATCTTTCTCATAAAGATCATCCGTTTTTATAATTTTGCATTCAGCCGTTCCTGGTGACCCCAGAGGATTCAGAAACTTTGAAGCTCCGCAGAGTTGAGAGTCCTGGGTGGAATGGCTGGAATAAAGACATTGCCAGAATATTTTTACTTGGAATTTGCATGCTTTTGAGTGACCCGGAGGTGTCGACGATTTTTTGACGATATTTGTACCAGATACATTTTTTTACCACTGTGAATAAAGTGTGCGATCACTTCGCTTGGCCAGCGCGTCCAGAAAAATGTTTCAAAGAAACTATCATAAAACAGAACGCAGAAAACAGAACAGAAAAGAATATTTTATGACAATTTTACAAGTGCAACTGAAAAAAGTTATTATATGGATTAGATGACTTCAGGAAAACCCGAGATTCATTATTAGTTAAGTGCAGATAATCGGGTCCAAATCGATGCCAAGTTGAGTGATAATGGCAAGAACTCTGGTTTTGGCATTGCTTCTTCTTAGATTATGATTTATGCCATTTATCACTGAGGGAAGACTCCCGTTATTAATACCTGACGCGGGTATGTTGATTTCAGGTCATGTCCAGCAAACTCAGGAAAATATACTTTTTTATATTAAAAAGGAAAAATGTAAGTGGCTCATTGCCAAATACCCTTCAAAAGAGAAGAAACAAAATGTAATAGGAATCCGAATGAACAGGAAAAGAACTTTTCCGTTTCGGATACTAAGCAAATGAAATGAATTTTCGTCTTTACTGATTTAGATGTGGATTTAACCAAGGCTTTCATCGCTTATCCAATCAATGTCCATAGCACCAAACTTGGAAGTTTAACTCAGGCTCGAAAGAAACTCACGTATCCTTCCCTCAGACACTCGTCACTGAATCGAACTTTACGTAAAGCTATGAGACCAAAGGGACACTTAAAATCTTTACACTGTATAATTTTTCCAGAAATATGCGAGTTTCCATCGCAAAAATTTCCGACTTAGAGCATGTAAACCACCATTCCTTCAAATGGACGAAAAATATTTCCTGCATATCCTCGGAACTCCGACTTTGGTCTTATTTACGGAATGTTCCTCTTCTTTTTCACAATATATTACGGCTACTAGCCGACCCGTGGAAGACTTTCACGAACTTTGAGTCGGTCTGGGCCAAGGGTGTCAAATTTCCGGCCAGCTAGTTGATTTTGTCTGAACCGCAGTGTCCCCTTCAATAGTTGGAGAAGAGTTGACGATTTCAACTTTTAAGCAATTGAAACCTCACTTTAAGATTTGCTAATCTGGACCCAACCACTCCTGAAGAGCTCCATCCGTCTCCCAGCTGAATGAAATTTGACATCTCTGCCCTTACGGAAATGTCCTATAGGAAACCTATAGACTTACCTATAGGTTTTTGAAACACAAAAACCCTATAGGATCCCTATAAGGTCTCATAGGTTCTCCTGACCTATAGGATTCGGGGAGGATATTTTTGGTTTCGAAACCCAGGCATTACGACGGAAAAGGCGACCGCAGTTAATATTGGCGCAACATTTCGGTGTAAATCAAAAACCGATTAGGGAAACCTATTGGTCCTATAGAGAATCGCATAGGTCCTATAGCGAACCCTGTAGGTCCTATAGGGAACCCTATAAGTTCTATAGGGGACTCTATAGGTTCTATAAGGAACTCTATAGGTCCCTAACTGAACTCCATAGGGCATATAGGATCCTATAGGATTCCTATAGGATTCCTGTATATTCCTAAAGGACCGCATAACATTGTCGGAAATACACGAGTTCATTCAGCGGCCCTGTGAAAAATACGCGGAAGCTGCTCTTTCTTATTCTCGAGGTGGAATCTGACAGCCGCGACGGCTTGAACGGAACTGCGAGCTGGAGAGATATTGCCTCCCCTTACGGAAATGTCCTATAGGAAACCGATAGATATTTCTCATAGGAAACCTATAGACTTTCCTATAGGTTTCTGAAACACGAAAAACCTATAGGATCCTTTAGGATCCTATAGGATCCCTATAGGGTCTTATAGGTCTCGTGACCTATAGGATTCGGGGAGGATATTTTGGGTTTCGAAACTCAGGCATTACGACGGAAAAGGCGACCTGGGTTAATATTGGCGCAGCATTTCGGTGTAAATCAACGAACCGATTAGGGGTTTTCCATGGTAGGGACACATGCATTATTAATACTGCGGGGGTCTGCTTAATTTATGACCCCGCCCCACATGCATCGCTGGATTGTAAATCTACTTCCTTCGGTACGAGGAAGTGGTATTCTTCTCTCGACCTAAAGAAATAGAAGATGGAACCTGCAAGCACGTCCTTTTACTGAAACTCCATTTGGATAGAATCCATTTAGTTTCGTCTGTGGTCTTCAAAAAGAATGAGGGCATATTTCTTCACGGGACTCCATGATTATATCTGGAAGATGGGCATGACAAATAAGGAACTGTCGAAGTTTATTGATTGCTACAATGAGGCAAGGCGAGACATTTGGGGACGTACAGAGCTCTCTTGTGAGAGATGATTCCTTGGGTAATGGGAGGGCACTTTTGTGCCCTTTGAGAAATGTGAGAAACCAATACTTCCATCTAATGGCCTAGAGGAGAACTTCAAATGGAACCCTATAGGTCTATGGGGTTCCGTATAAGCCCTATAGGGAACCCTATATGTCCTATAGGGAACCCTATATGTCCTATAGGGAACCCTATAGGTCCTATAGAGAATCCTATACGTCCTATAGAGAATCCTATAGGTCCTATAGAGAATCCTAAAGGTCCTATAGCGAACCTACAGGTCCTATAGAGAACCCTATATGTTTTATAGGGAACCGTACGGGTCCTATACAGAACCCCTTGGGTCCTATAGGGAACCTATTGGCCTTATGGGGAACCCTTTAGGTTCTATAGGGGGATCTATAGGTTCTATAGGAAACTCTATAGGTTCAATAGGGGACTCTATAGGTTCTATAAGGAACTCTATAGGTCCCAAACTGAACTCTATGGGGCATATATGATCCGATAGGATTCCTTTAGGTTCCTATAGGATTTCTATAGGATTGCGATATATTCCTAAAGGAATATATAGGAATCCTATAATACATTTTCGTAAGGGTCGCCCCTAGTGGGCGTATATGCGGATCGGTTGTACAGAAAGGGACTGCGTGCATGATTCCACTCCACCATCTCCTCGACTGGAGCAGTGTCACATTGAACATTTCTCAGTCAGAAAGTTTTTCAGTTACTACGGGTCGTTTTACGAATCATTATTTCGATCCATTCGTATTGCCATGAAACAAGTGGCAATGTGACGAATGGTGCTCGAAACTTCACCCTGCCGCTTAAATGCACTCACCAATGCTCCCCTTATCCTCGCCTTCTTCCATGAAGGGCGTTAATTATAGACGGCAGGGTAAGTGTTAAGATAGTAGGACAGCTGAAAGGGACTGTCACCCAAGCTGCATATTTATGTTAATTTTACGTAACCTGACTAAATATTTTGTCCATTTTATGCAAACCATCATCAAGATAATGTCAACATGTTTGTTGAAATGTCACCTCTATAATACGTAAACGGTGATATAAAATTAACGTAAATTTTATGTAAATTTGACTTTTCCGTTTTCAGCCCCAACATCATGTTTCCATTCATTTTACGTAAAATTAATGCTAATTTTCTAACATTCATTCGTATTTAATGAACCAATTCGTACTTTTGAAGGGAATTGATAGTGTATTTCTCCCATTCCTTCCTATACTTTGGAACTCTAGGGTGCATGGACGAAAACACGAGTACACAAGAACTCGCCCCCACCAGCACTCAAGAGTACCAAGATGTCTCACTAGTTCCTCCTGCCGTACCAGGACCTCGGGAGGAGGAATAAATGTTTAGAGGAGTTCTCTTCCATTGCGGATAGAGAAGGTATAATAGTTGTGAAGCTGGGATTCTACTCTTCCCTAATCCCTTGCACTGCTGATAACAAGCTTAATTTCAATAATCATTAATAAGAAACAATGTAAACAGGAGTAGTTCGAATCGAACTTTCATTTTGACTAATTTTTTTCCCTTCCATTCTTCTCCTGGGGGATTCTAGAGTGTAAAGAACCCTCCTAATCAGGGCGGTCGACTTTTAATTTCTTGCCAAAAAATCTAAACGTTGAAAAGTACTCCCACTCAGCCCTATAAGTAGCATATAAATGTATTGCATTCTTATAGCTCCTTCCAATGTGTGTGGTACCAAGTGCGCTTTGAAGCACATGTCCATACTTCCATTCTGTATCTCACATACAGCAAAGTCGATCTCAAAACCACTAGAGCATCACAAAGATAATTTTGACTTGTATTAGAGTGACTTGTATTATATTGGGCACGATTTCATGCAAAATTGGGGGGGGGGATTAGTACCATAGAGCCCACTATCATGGGGTAGTTCAATTCCCTAAAAACAGGTGGCGAACGTGAGCCAAGCATGGGAGTTTCCAGCATCAATAGGCGCGGCAGCGCCTATTCCCTTTCTTCAACCCCTTCCCGTCACAAAATCCAACCTCCTTGTATTCTTCTCTGAGAGGATCTACAGGCACGAAATTGGGCAGACTTCTTTCCACCTCAACACAGAATCACTCCAGCAAATTTGAAGTTCTATCTCCCCGGGTTGTGAAGAAAACTGAATCTCCCTTTTTGAAGATGACAAATTCATTCCGTATTTTTTTTCTCCCCCCCCCCCCCCTGGCTAGGCACTCCTGGGAGGTTTTCGGAAGAAAGAGACCAACCATAAGAGAGATATTAACTCGTAGATGACGAAAAGTGGCTTTTTTGCTGTTTGCGATGCTCCATTTCGCCATAAAAAAATGAAATTAGCTGTCGTTCAATTAGGCTTAGAGAGCTTGCTCCGGCACCGTCCCCCAGTGTTGCCGGATACCGTGCCGAAATTATGCCAGATTCAAGA